ATGACACCCAACTCGATCTCTCTGCCTCCGCCCTCAACTCCAGGACTACTGGTGTCCTGACCGACTGCCTGTCCGATATCAAGTCCTGGACGAGAGACAACTTTTTCCAACTCAACGTCAGCAAGACCGAGGCCCTCCTGATTGGCTCGCGCCAGCACCTCCTCACCTCGGGCGCTGGCAGCATCAGCCTCCACGGCTGCACACTCAACCTCACTAAGCCAGTCAGGAACCTGGGTGTCTTGTTTGACCCTGAACTATCCTTTCTCCCACACATCTGAGCCATGACCGGCACTGCCTACCACCACCTCCACAACATTGCCAGACTCTGCCACTGCCTCACCCCTCAGGCTGCCGAAACCCTTATCCATGCATTCATCACCTCAAGGCTCGATTACGGAAACTCCCTCCTCATCGGCCTTCCCAACTCTTCCCTTCACAAGCTGCAGATCATCCAATACTCTGCAGCTCGTGTACTCTCGCACACCAGGCTCCGTGACCCCATCACTCCCACCCTCGCCCGACTCCACTGGCTCCCCATCCCCCAGAGGATCGAGTTCAAGATCCTTATCCTCACTTTCAAGGCCATCCATGACCTTGCCCCCTCCTACCTCTCTGACCTGCTGATTCCCTACCAACCTGCCCACTCCCTCCGTTCAGTGGGCTCCTGCCTGCTCCATGTCTCCCGCCCGACCCGCCCTACCATCAGTGGCCGGGCTTTCAGCCTCTCTGCCCCCACACTCTGGAACTCCATCCCGCGGTCCCTTCACCTCGCTTCCTCCCTTGCCTCCTTCAAGGCCAGTCTCAAGACCCTTCTCTTCAATCGTACCTTTGGTCGCCCTCCCACCTCTCTGCCTTCCCTCACCCCTACTCCACCCCTCCCCCATCCTCAGGCCCCAACACCTGACTGTTCAGCGCTTTGGGACATCCTCCCGACGTAAAAGGCGCTCTATAAATGTAATTTTGTTGTTGTCGTTGAAACAGATTGTTTGGAAGGGTGGATGAGACAAGGATTCAGAACTCATTCAAGAAACAGCTTGATCTGTGATGGGAAACAATAACATTGCGTTGTATTTGTATAGCACCCCTCACATAGGGTAGCGCCCCAGAGCACTTAATGGGAACATGGTAGGATGGGTATTCTAAATAGATGAGATCAGATGGGCCAAAGGACTTTCTTCATCCGAACCAATCTTTTAATTTTATGAAATGCTCAAATGTGGTTATTGATTTTTTTAAACAAGTAAGCTGTTAAGATCAGAGTGCTAATTCTCTGGTTTATTCTTCTGTGGTGAGCCAATGCTTATGTTTGACAGTTATCTTTGACAGATATTGGATTACTTGCTAATACTTGTTAGCTAGGAACTACTGGTCCCTGGACTCAGTACAGCTCTGCTTTATGAAGTAATCACAATTTAATTCAATTAAAGTATTGCTTGTGACTGAACCAAAGTTACAAAGAATAAGAGAAAGAAATAGTTAGGCAATGTACTCTTGGGTTTTATATAGTCTGTAGATTGTGGGAAGGAAGAAAAGACCGAGTGAGCTAAGCGTAATTGTCTGAGCTTTGAATATCAATCAGGTGATCAGATTTTAACAGAGATTAGGTTCAAACAACAGTTGAGATTTGCTAAAAGTTTGTTAAAGGATTTAGTATGCTGTTGTATAAGGAACCAGCCGAGCTGCGGACAGGAAGACAGTGGCAATGTTCTCATGTATTTCATGCTGAAATCCGTTGCCCACCGGGAAGCTCACAGGGAGTTCCTTGACCTACTATCCATCTAGCGAGGCTCAAACCTGCACTTGTTGGATGTCGAATGACCAACTAGCGACTATGCTCCTTGGGGGAGAGATAAGTGGGTTCTCCTTAGAGCTTAACTGGCTCCAAGGCGACATTGGAATGTCAGAATCAAGCCACTGTGGCGGTCTCGGTAGTCTAGTTCCTGAGCCAGGCGGATTCATAATATTCCAAAGCACTGCTGACGTTAGCACAGCCAACCTAGCTTATCGGTAAGACCTGCAAGGGCAGACCAATTACTGGAGGTAGGGTGTCATCCAACTCAACTCCTGTTAACCCTGCAAGCCAAAGACATAATGGCTAGGGTGGGCCTAGCTGGAGAAGCAGCAGGAAAGTTTGCTAGGCAATGGCAAGCTATGCAGTTTTAGCTGGTTAGAATCCAGCACACTCTGAGGTCTCCAAACCGTAGCTCTTGCCAACCTGTGCCTAATATTTTCTGGAATTAGATAAGCAGGATGTATCCCTCCAGGGAGAGAGTGCACACTCCATTCCAACAATCTATCTTTGGGATTTCCATGTGTAGGTGGGATGCATGGAAATCAAAAAAAAGGTGTTGAACGGGTCATTCTCTATCCACATGCCACCTGTTTGGGAGGAAGTTACGCATCTGTCTGTATTAATATTATTTAATTAACTTCAAATTTCCAAGGGTTACCAAACATTGCATTTCCTCTTTCTATTCCAATAAAGACCCCATCTATTTCATCTCATTGTGGAAAGGTATATATTATATATATTTTATTATATATAATATATATTGTAAAAAAAACTTGCCTTGACCTCCAGACATGCATTTTGAGTTGGTGCAGAGAAGGGACAATCTGTAAGCAGATTACTCCACCAACTGTCCCAATTACTTTCTCCCAAGCTCTTTTATACAGCCGGAGCTTGGAGGAAATTCATTGAGGACATTTGATCACGCAATGATGAAAAAATGCTAGCACATGCTCCTTTTTGTCTAATCAAGTTACCTCCAAATGCACATCATGTGAATATGAGTATTGAGATCACATGCCCAACGACAGTATCAATTACTCAGTTTTTATTTACTAATCAAAAATGCTTTTTCGCAACATCTGGATTCACAATTCACCACATGTGGTTTGTGGTTAACCCTAGCTTAGACCATGTTAGTCCAAACTCCCAGCGTGGGGTTAACCCCACAACTTTCTGACTCAGAGCCGAGAGTCCTACCGAGGTATGCTGATACCTTAGTGGTGAAAAGATCATAACTCTTAGTGACTGGTATCAAAGAGCCCATGAAACATGCACAGCACTCAAGCTCATAGTAAGGTTTCTTGTCCTCTATTCCACAGAATGTACTTTATCTCGAGGTTCAGAAGAGCCTTGCTATGTAATTATGAAATTTATCTTTCTCATGCTGCCATCCTTGTGGGACCTGAGTCTGATGCCTAATTTCCATAGAATTTGAAGCAGCTTTCTCTGTGGTCCAACATCCAGCAAGAACTGTATCGGAACTTCCCAAACTCATTTTGTACAGGATTCTTGCAAATAGCAGGGAGAGAAGAGCAGCTTTGCTTGTATTAGTCTGGACTGAAGGTGAAAGAACAGTGAATTATTCCACATCAACAGCCAGTAACCCACTCCCTACAATTGTTAAAATAAACATCTCATACATGGATAGATGTTTGGAGGGGACAAATTTGCAAAACCATGGGGAGAGCGCAGAGAGTGGGATTAATTTGGCACGTCTTTCAAAGAGCCAGCACAGGCACGATGGGCTGAATGGCCTCCTTCTGTGCTGTATAATTCCATGATTCTATGACTCTATGCGCTTACTACTTTCTTCATATGAATAGTCTTATATAAAGATAGTATTTTTTAAAACTGGAAAGCAAAATACGAACAATTACGACCAGGAATTGACCAGGATGTTCAGTTTCCAGTTTCACTGTCATGGTATCAAATAACATGGTGAGAACGGTAACAAACCTTCCTGTATATGAATGTTGTTTAACATGTTGTTACTTGCAGCAGGGATTATTCTCATGTGCCTACAGTTTACCCACCAAATCAAAGCCCTAATGTAGGATGATCCTAGCTGGCAAACAGTGAGAAAGATTGCCAGACAGTGCTCTCAATGGCAAACCATGTGGTTTTAGCTGGTTAAACTCCAGTAGTACCCCCAATGTACACTCTAAAGTCTCCAAGTCTTGGTTTCTGCTAACCGGTGCCTAATAATCTCTGAATTAGGTAAGAAGGATTCACCCTTCCAGGGAGAGAGGGTGCATTGCATACACAGAGAAATTTCCATGTGAGGGTGCCATACATACAGTACATGGAACTCTCAATCTGGTTTGGAATTTCTTAAGCATGGTAATTGGTTTTGGCATGTGTCAAGACACCCGGATGACCAAAACAATTCTTCAATGTTAAGGCAGAAAGGAGGGAATACATGAATGGGTCCCGACAGACCTGGACATGATTTGCATTGTGCCAGTTTTGTTCTATTAAGGACAAATAGAAAATGGGTCCAAATTCTTTGGGACATGAATCCAGATAAGATTGTTTTCTCATCACCTGGATATTACTTGACAGCTTCCATAAAACATATATAGTCGACAATCTGAGTGATTTGCTTCTGCCAAACTGAAAACGTTGCCTCTAAGATTTCAACCAGATCTTACTGCTTATTATTGAAACACAAAGAGACTGAATAACAAACTTGCTTTTTAATTATATTACATAAAGGTAGATTCCTTAATTTATTTTTCTGTGCATTTCTAGATTTATTATTATTTCATATTTACATAGAAATACAGGGTTGTTCCATGCCCTAGTTTAGTGCTGACCCACTTTAGCATGCAAAATGTACTTGTATTTTTAACTGTTGGAAAATAAAATCTCTCTATGCATTTGAGTGAAACATATTACAAAATCTGATGAAAGTGTTGCACTTTTAACCCAAATACACTCATAATAATTCACTTTTTTTCCCTGAGTCAGCAACTTTCACATGTATGTTTCAAATTCTAGATTTTGTGGTAAACAGGATTCAAAGTGTACAAATATTACTTTGGAAAAATAAATCCATTATTTACAATATTTGGGTACTGGAGAGGTAAGAATCACATTAAACTGGTCTATAGATAAACCATAATGAGCTTTTTTACTGAACACAGTACAGATTCATTCTGAATCAAAATTCTTTTCTTCTGGCATTGTGTTCGTGTTGCCTCCTCCTGTTTATTTTGGCTATAGAGCAATAAATTTGTTCAAGAAAATGCCTAATAAAATAATTTATGCATACACACACCAGTACACAAAGTTAAAAAGTATAAAAGACGCTGGAAATATCAGTCTGGAATATTGGTCAATAGCATGGGTGTTCTGAATGATTCGCATGCCGACAAATTCTCGGATGCGTTTCTTTTTCTGTGAATTTGATTCACTGCCAATGGATAAGTGAACCAACATCCTGTCTTTGTCTGTCTCGTCACTGATTATCTGTGTTTTTGTGTATCCAGCCAGGCTGTGAACGTCAGCTTCACTCATATTACCATCTAACAACATTGTCTTTGCGTTGGATAATCCACAGGTGCAGTGCCACTGAGGAAAGGAAAAGACACAGCATTTTAAAGATGAAGAACAGCTGAAAATACTCAAAAAGCGCAAAAGCAAAGTGCGTTTTGTTCTTTTGTACAGAAATATATCATGTTTAATTTATCATTCTGGTCATTTTTTGTGCTCATCAAATGGAAGGATTACAATTACGGAGGATGACAAGAGGTGGAAGGAGATTGAACCTAAACACAGACACAAGGCAGACACAATTGCAATCAGCATAGTGCATGCCTGTGCACATAAAGGAAAAGTTCAATATTACAAAAGCAAGTGCAGACTTCTGAGAATACCTGAACGCTGTCAATGTGAAGTGTCTGCTGTTTGAGCTCACCTTTGCCCTGGCTTTTCTTTCCTTCCTCTCTTGAACTGTGGTCAAATAGTTCACAGCAGCGTACTCCAACACAGAGAGAAAGACGAACACAAAACTAACCCACAGGTAAATATCCACAGCTTTGATATATGACACCCTTGGCATGGAAGCATTGACACCAGTGATGATGGTGGACATGGTTAGAACTGTTGTTATACCTGGAATTAGGATAAAACGGTTTAGCTACACATTAATAGTGTAACCTTAATAATGACATTGCTTGCATTTGAATTAGAAGATATAGCACAGTATTACATCAAAACATCTCAAAGAGCTTCACAATATGTTAGTTCTATCTATAATGTGCCCCATGGTGTTCAGTAAAGGTTTAGCTCGGTCTTTTAATCTGTCTTTTAAAGACCTCAGCTCTCCTGATTGGCTCCCGTCAGCACCTCCTCACCTCAGGCACTGACAGCATCACCATCCATGGTTGCACACTCCACCTCACTGAGCCAGTCCAGAACCTTGTGGTCTTGTTTGACCCTTAACTATCCTTTCTACCCCATATCTGCGCCATGACCCGCTCTGCCTTCCCCAACCTTCGCAAAGTCGCCCGGCTCCACCACTGTCTCACACCGCAGGCCGCCGAAACCTTTCTACATGCTTTCATTATATCAAGGCTTGACCACGCAAACTCATTGCTTGTTGGCCTCCCCAACTCCTCCCTCCACAGGCTGCAGATCATCCAGAACTCTGCAGCCCACGTCGTTTCCCACACTAGGCTCCTCGACCCTATCATCCCCATCCTCGCCTAACTCCACTGGCTTCCCATCACATAGAGGATGCAGTTCAAGATCCTGGTCCTCATCTTCAAAGCCCTTCATGGTTTGCTCTCCCCTACCTCTCCGACTCCCTACCACCCTGCTCGCTCCCTCAGCTCAGTGGGCTCCGACCTGCTTCACGTTCCCCGCTTTGCTCCCCCCACTCATTCTGCCCCCACTCCCTGGAACTCCGTCCCGCAGTCCCTCTGCCTCGCCCCCTCCCTTGTCTCCTTCAAGACCCATCTCAAGATCCTACTCTTCGACTGTGCTTTTGATCTCCCTGCTTCCCCCCCCACCCCGCCCTCCACCCACCCCAACCCCAAGCTCGGGTCTGAAATCCTGCCTATCCAGCACCTTGGGACTTCCTCTCGACTTGAAAGGCACTACACAAAAGTTATTTTATTGTTGTTGTTAATGATTCCAATGTATTCCTCCATGAGGCCCCTATAGTTTGACCCAGTACCTCCATTTCTTATACACACATAGTATTTTCTGATGAATTAGATCTACTTGTTCACGTGCTCATGCTTTTTTAATGGATTAGACTAACCATTTTTGTTAATGTGTTTCTTGGTGGGTGGATCTTATCCTTTCATACTGATTTTCATCAAATCTACTACTGAGGGATTAGGCTAGGTGAAATTATTGTAACCAACCTAAAGCACCAGCTCAAGTCTGCTTGCACATCCATAGGGTAAAGAAAAACATAGAATTAAGATAGTGGACTATTTTCTGATGGATTCTTTCTTATCTTGTAAGCTATACTTACCCAGTGAAACCCTGGCTGGCACGGCTCGGCGATCGATCCAGAAGGATACCCAGGAGAGCATGACCATCAGCGTCGCTGGGAAGTAGGTTTGTAGCAAAAAGAAGAAAATGTGGCGACGCAGCGTGAAATTGATGTACAGACGATTGTACCAACCTATTTGTGAAAGCAGATATTGATCAGCATGTAACACTACAACAATTTCCATTTATATAGCGCTCTTCACACAGGAGGATGTCTTAAGTGCTTCATACAATTGACAGGAAGCCCAAGCTTGGAGTGAGGCGAGAGCTGAGGAGGGGAAAAATGTCCAAAAGCAAAATTGAAACTGGAATTGGGTGGGGGGAGCGCAAGGCAGAGGGACTTCAGGATGGAGTTTGAGAGAGCTAGGGCAGAATGGCTAAAGGCTCACCAATAGTGGGGCAGTGTGTACAGATTGGGGGGGGGAGGATATGGGAAACAATGAAACAGGCTGATGTTTACTGAATATACATATGAACTTAGTATCTTTAAAATAAAATGTACCTGTACTGCTATAGAAAGCCAGTCTAGAGGTAGTATGAAATTTCTGTATGAGAAACTGAGACAGGGATACCTTCTCATCTGTCTTCAATGATTCATTCCCATCCTTCCAATACAGCATGAGGTCATCTTCAGTATAAGCATCTACCGTTAAAGACATTATCACCGATTCATTTGTTATAGAATAAATTGTACACCAAGAACTGGACTCTGGCATTTAGCTAATGCTCTAACAGTGATTTATAACTACTGCCAAAAACAATCCCAAATCTGATATGATGCAGTGAGTAGTTATCCTTAGCAATATAACTTCAACCATCTTAACTTATCAGGAGTACATCTCTCATTTAAACAACAAATTACATGTATATATAGTGCCTTTCATGTAAGGAGGACGTCCCAAGTAGTTGGACAGGGATTTGCACCCAAGGTGGTTGGAGTCAAGAGGGGTGGAGGACAATGGGTGTGGGGGTGAGAAGATGGCCAAACTCATGGTCAAAGAGGAAGGTCTTGAGACTCTCTTTACTGCTGGTGAGGAATAGCTGCATTAGACAAGTGACTTGCTTTCCAGTTCTTAAAACAGTAATATCAGTCATCTTTTTCACGATGCTTTATTTTTCCACCCATGGCAAGAATTCTCTGCCAACAAGCAGAACATTTTTATGTTGTCATGGTGAGTGATGTGACAAAGAATACTAGGTAGATATTTTCTTCAATACCAGTTGAAACTCATTGAATGCATTCCATCCAAAACTTTAAAGATAGACCATATTTCCTTACTAAAACTGATATGTCCTCAGACTATGAATAGCTGGACAAATGCTTCGACTTACAGCTCTCAAGTTCCAGAGAACAAGTCTGAGTGTCGAGGGGGAAACGGCTGAAATCCATGATACACATTGATGTCACTGTAACCCTGCAAACCAAACAGACTGGTTGTAAACCAACAATGTATGAATATCAGTCATGAATGTTTTACAGAAATACGCTCTAGTCCAATTTTACCCAAAACAGAATATTTTATTCCACTGAACCATCAAATACAATACAATTTACATTTATACAGCATCTCTACCATCAGGAGGGTATTTCAAAGCACTTCACAGTGCTACATGGGTACCCAAGCTATGTATGGGAGCCAAAGGGAAGGGGAGAGGAGAAGGTGACCGAAAGCACGGTTAAAGAGGTATGTTTCGAGACATGCACTGAAAGAGGGAAGGAGGTGAATCAGAAGGACTCCAGGATGTGAGGGCAAAATTGCTGAAAGCCCTCTTCCACCAATGGTGGAGTGGATAGGACAGTGGACATCAAGCAGGCCAGTGCTTGCAGAGTGAAGAGAGCGGCAGGGTTAGTAGGATTGAATTAGATCGCAGAGGTAGGGCAGAGCGAGTCCGTCGAGGGATTTAAAGGTAAGTAAAAGGATTTTGAGCTCAGGTTCACTCTGGTTGAGATTGCTGGAAGCTGAGGTTGAGGCAAAGGCAAATACTTGGAAACACTGCTTGGCATTGGTCTCTCTTAGGGCACTGGGTATAAACATGGGAGTCCTGAAGCTCAGTGGTTAGAGCACTCGCCTTGTAAACGAGATGCCTGGGTTCTATTCCTGGCAGGGCAAAATGTTGGGCAAGTTTCCTTACTCCATATGCCCATGTTTACCTAGCAGTAAGTAGGAACCCGGTTGTTAGTCAATTGGCAAATCACTTTTCCAGGGGTAATAATTCCTTCAAATAATAATAATTTGATAACTCAACCATGACTGTTTGTGGGACACTGCTGTGCGCAATTGGCTGCCACGTTTTGCCCACAAAATATACAGTCAATTCACTTTACAGTATATGCTGTGAAGCACTTTGAGACATCTCGAAGACGTGATAAGGTGCTATATCAAATGCAAGGATTATTATTATTATTTTGTTCCTTGTACTGATGATGTAATGGCCATCTTCACACACAACAATTTTTTTTATATATAACATAAGAGCCGATTGCCAATTGTAAAATGCTGTGTACAAATTGCCTAACGTTCTCACATTCACTTACAAACACTGCACTTTACAGCAAACACTGTGAAGCACTTTGAGACTTTTCAGTCTTATAGAGGTTATATCAAATTCAACAGTTATAAAAACAATGCAGGTAATTGCAACTGGCAAATTTACCGATCTGATGAAGTCTTACTAAGAGAGTTGAGAAAATACATTGCAGAAACCGTCCTCACCTCAAACTGTACAGCACGTTGCCATCTGGAAATACACGTAACATTATGTTATCTGTGGTTGTGTCGTGGATGAACGAGCGTTTAGAGTGAACAAAAAACACATCCGGGGACCAGATCTTTTTGACAAGCCTGCCATCAAATGTCATACTTCTATTGTTTCTGCTGGGGAAAGCCAGACGCTCATCTTTCCAGTAATTCCGCAAATACAAGGTCATGGTGAAATCCTGCAGGAAAAAAGATCAAAAAAATGAAGTACCAGGTTTTTACTTCCTACATACATAAGGACGTAGGTATGTGGATGTCACGCTCCTTTGGCTGTATTTTGTGTAACACCTTATGTAACATCTAATTTAACATCCTTTTGCTTGTCAAACATCAAGGCCTGGATAAGCGCCAACTTTCTGCAGTTTAATGTTGACAAGGTGGAAGTCATACTCCTTGGCTTCAGTTCTTCTTACCTGTAGTTCTGACCTCCTCAACCTCCTTAGACATATTGAACCTGACCTGAATCGCTTTCTTCCACATCTGCCACATTGCCCGCCTCTCACTGTACCTCACACCCAATGCAGGAAAAACGTTTATCCAGGCATTCAACTCTTCCCACTTCAATTGTTCCAATATCCTTCTCACTGGTCTCCCCAGCTGCATCATTCATAAAATCCAATTAATTAAAAACTCCGCCGCCTATATCCTCACCCACACCAAATTCCACTCACCCATCAACCCAGTCCTTTCCAGGCTCTATTGGCTCCCTATTAAAGAAAGGATTGATTTCAAGATCCTTACACTTGCGTACAAATCACTTCATGCCCTGTGCATCTCTTTACTTGCTTACGCCTCACATCATTACTCATCCCCTTCACTCAGCCTCCAGCCCGTCCCTCGTCCCTTCTGCTCAGCTGTCGGTGGCCAAGCTTTTGGGCACTATATCCCCAAATTATGGAACTCTCTGCCTTTAATCCCTTTGCCTTGCCTCCTCCTTCCGCTCCATACTAGATTACACCTGAAGCCTTTCCTCTTCGATCATGCCTATGTTCACCTCCCTTCTACCCCCGGCACAGCGTCCAACCTTGTTAAGCGCTCCAAGACCTATCCACACGAAGGCCGCTATGTAAATACAAGTAGTTGTTGTAATGCTGATAGGATTTGTAGTCTTCGTAGTCCCTTCTTTGCCTGGCAGGAATGTAGATCACAGATAAGTCAGCCTTGTTCATTCACAGGATCTGGAAAAAGTCACTATGGCTTGAGTTCTTTCCCCTTATCTTCTGTTAATCCTTCACACCAAAGCTAGTGCTAGCTGGTCAAGCAACAAGAAGTTTGCCAATGTTCACAATGTTAAGCTATGTCATTTTAGGTGGTTAAACCCCAACAGTACCCTGAGGCACATTCTGTGGACCTCAAGCTTTGCTTAATGCCAATCTGTGCTTAAATCTCTCTAGAATTAGGTGAGAGGGTGTGTCCCTCTGGGGAGACAGTGCACACTCCGTACCAGACAAAATGTATCGGGGCCAAAAAATTTTCCAACAATTCTCGAAAAGCATTTGTAACTATTGAACTCTGCAGGAAACCAGATGTAAGTCACAACTTGCAGGCCCTCAGCTTCAAGTCATGTCTCAGACTGAAGTTCCCAAAGATTAGCGTGAGACTCACCTTCAGATTCAATATTTCAGCAGCTTGGCTAGCAGCAGCAGTAGCCCACCACCTGATGTTCCCTTGAAATGGGGATAAAATCAGTTTGAAGCTTTCCCAGTTACTTCACCTGAAGTCAAAAGGGCTTTATCGTTGGCAATTTGACATTTATCATTAACAGTTTAACAAACCTTCCTGGAATTAGAGACAAAATAGCTTATATTATCCCTCAGGCAGATGCCACCCATTGCTCTGGGTGATAAATGACCAAGATAAGCCATGGATTTCTGTGTGAGTAGAAAGTAACTGACCACTTACCATATCCACCTCAGAAATACTGTCCAAACTTTCCACCACCACATCCACACCAACAGGTATTGATGGGCCTGCAAGACAATATAAATAATTGGATTTAAGAATTGTCTGTATTATAAGTATCAAATTGATTGAATCTACCTGCTGATGTAGAATCAGAACAAAAATATCAGCCACTGTATTTACTTTTCACTAACTTTAGATTTGTGGGTTCTATCAGTACAACAGCTATGTTGTAACTCCCATCTCTTTTCGCATAGTGCCGTGAGATTCTTAACCTAAACAAGTAGACGTGACTTTGGTTTAATGTCTCATACAAAAGATGGCACCTCTGGTGATGCAGTGCTCACCTGGTTACTGCATTGGAATGTCAGCCCTGACTGTGAGGTCGTGGTGTGGCAATGTATCATATCACTGGTGCTACTGAATTGCTGAAAATTAACATTTATGTGCACCCACACATTATTGTACCACTGACAATATCTTTCCTTTTCATGTTTAGACAAATGTTATTATTTTACAAATGTTGGAAATTCACATCAAATGATGAGTCACAAAGTTGTGAGATGTTGTGCCTTTTGACAATGTGTGCCCAGGATTCACATACAAAATAAAGGACAACAATTTCCTTAGTTGGGGAAATGGTGACGAGGGGGCATCATGTCAGGATTGTGAGCAAAAGAATCAGGGGAGAGGTTAGAAAGAATTTCTTGATTCAGAGGGCTATCGGGGGTTTTAAATTTGGTACCATAAACTGCCACTGAGACTGCAGCAAAAGAATCATTCAAAAGTAAACTGGATAAGCATAATATTAAAGAATATGAAGAAGGAGCTGGAAAATGGGATTTAGTAATGAAGGGCAATAATACAGGCAGCAATACTTGGAGGTGATCGTAGAACAATACTACGCTAATAGAATACCAATACCTCCCCACCCCACCCGTCCTGAAAAATTTCCATGTTCTATGTGACCCTGTACAAATAGCAGTGTTTGCAACACTTCTGCATTACAACCTGTTCTTCAGATGAGATTGTAAGCCAAAATCCCGTCTGCTTGTTCATGTGGATGTTAAATATCCCATGGCACTATTCAAAAAGAGAAGAAGGTTTCTCATTGTCCTGGCTATCAATTCCCCAATTAAATTTGATCACTCATTCCATGGCTGTTTGTGGGACATTGCTGTGTGCCAAATGGTTGGCATCTTTGCCTACAAAATGCGTAGTCATTACACTATACAGTAAATCCTGTGAAGTGCTTTAAGATATTTTGATGAGATGGTAAAGCATTATATTACATGCAAATATTATTATTATAATAAGATTTTTCCAGTTTTGTATAGTAGTTTTTTTAATGGTAATTTCCAGCTGCCCTCTCCACCCACACATTACAAATCAGTAAAGATTATTATACGCTTATTTCTCAATCAACCAAGAACAGGAAAATATTAACCAACAATGATAAAATAACACTCATGGCTCATTTTCTCTTGGCTTATTTTCTATTTTCCTTGCTGATCTTTTTTGTCTTTCTCTCCTTTCCATTTTATTTTGCTCCTTTTTAGTTTCTTTGGGTTTTGTTTCTTTCCCAACAGTGTAGCTAATCTGCCAGTGCAATAAACACTGCGTATGAGCTAACGTCACTTCCTGGGTCCTGCATATGCATGCAAGTGCAGGAAGTGCTGCTGACGACACTTTGAGAATGAAGTGATATCATGAGCATCAAGGCAGTGATATAGGCAGTGCTTCCTGGGCATACATGCAATATGCAAGTGATGTCAGCAGTGACTGACTAATGTTATAACACAACCTCTGAAATATTGAATCCAGATGGCTCTATTATAAAAGGGTTACCTTTTTATAATAGATATAAAATATGGTTATTTAAGCTTCCTCATCCCTTTCAAAATATTTTTAGGGATTAATTTACAGTATTTTAGAATTCCCATTGACGAATAGGATCTGCCTCTGGAAGCAGATCACAGCAGAACGGAGCTTCTATGGGTCTGTATGATATGCATCATAACATATTACATAGTGTGTCCTGCAATGTGAAAAGAGATTTAACTCATCCCTTCTGGCTGGATGGCGGGGTTGCAGAGACAGGAAATCAGCTCTGACAGGAATGAGTGATCAGAGACAGGAAATCAGACATCATACATCTGGATTCAATATTTCAGAGGTTGTGTTACAGAAATGATCAGCCACTACTGACATCACTTGCATGTATGCACAGAAAGCACTGCCTATTATCACTTCCTTGATGCAAGCATATCAAATACGAGGACTATTATTCGTATCACATTCCACATTCCCAACTATGCAGCCCCCCTCCCCACCCCCCACCATCTAAGAGCATCTTGGATTATATGAATTCAAAGTCCTGACATGGGGCTTGAACCCACAGTCTTCTGACTCAGTGCCGCGAATATAAAGTAGTTCCCAATTTTGAATTGCAATCTTATCCATGAAATGCTGACGAGTCAGTAAAATGACTGAATCCAGGAAACTCTTCACATATCTGCATGTGTTGCAGGAATTCTGAAAAAAGTGAATCCTTATGCAGGTCATGGTTTTTCATTAGATCAAATTAAGGGAATATAATCAGCCAAACGTAGATCCTCTGGACTCCTGAGCTCTGCACCATTTACCGTACAACCAGCCCAAAGGGATGAGTTAAATCTCTTTTCACATTGCAGGACACACTACGTAATATGTTATGTAATGTTTGGATGAGTCATTTGCTGGAGAATGAGAAATAAAGAAAGAAAAAAAGAAAAAATAATCCTTGCGTTTGATATAGCGCTTTTCACATCTTATCGATGTCTCAAAGCACTTCACAGAATAGACTGTAAAGTTAACTGACTATATATTTGTGGGCGAAACGCAGCAGCCAATCGCGCACAGCAGTGTCCCACAAACAGTCATGGATTGAAAATGACCAATTTATTATTCTTTTTTGGAGGGATTATTATTAGGCGTGTGAAGTAAGCAAACTTGCCCAAGGTTTCGCCCTGCCTGGAATTGAACCCAGGTGTCTCGCTGGCAAGGCGAGCGCTCTAACCACTGAGCTACGGGACTCCACAAGACTTTAAAGGTGGAGAGGGAGGAGGCGAGGTGAAGGGACTCTGGTGTAGAATTCAAGTGAGAAGGGGTGGAATTGCTGATAGCTAACCCACCGATGGTAGAGTGGAATGGGCAGGGGATATGAAGCAGTGATACGAAGCAGGAGTGTTATAGTGTCAGGCAAACAAAAAATATTCTTTCTCTAAAATTGACCCTAGAAAGCCTCCTCTCACCACAAAGGACTTCAATGATAATTATCAACAAGCCCAAAGATGAGCTCACACTTAAACTTACTTCCCCTTTGACCAGTGAACATTATTCTCTGAAAAGCGATTGCATTATCTCCCAGTTCATGAATCATTCAAACATGACATAACTTATTGAGAAAAAAAAATTTCACAAATACAGTACATCCAGTTAATACTTTTTTGTATTATCCTTAAGCCATTGGATCGATGCATGAAATTATATCATTCTAAAATTAAATAAGTTCAAGGAATGAACATTGTTTGAATAACCTGAAATATTTTAGGAGTAGGACCCATTTTTGCTTTAAAACAGGCAACATTTGGGAAAACTTGTTCCAAGCAGGAATCTGCTATTTGGAGGATTCCTTACATCCAATGAACCACTGATATAAACTGTTTCCTAAGAGAGACAGACAGCTGTTGGATAGTCTTTCTCTCACACATACACATACAGACGCACAAACATAAATTGCTGCCTCCTCTAATCCACATGGTCATCAGAAAACTGTCAGATAGTTAATCCTCGCTCGTACATCCACAAGCCTCCAGATGGTTAGTCAAATTCCACGGTCAATGGAGTTTGTACTAAGCAGGAAAGATGCAAAATCCAAAAAAAGGGATTTAAAGTCTTAATTCCAAATGCATGTGGGCGGTGAAGCGGAGGAACTTAAATACTGAAACATTATGGCGAAAAACCTCCATGACAAACTACTGTGAGTCATATATATATGAACGAGGATGTAGGTTTACGAGGATGATACCAGTGCTGGCAGGTTACTGCTATCGAGATAGATTACTAGAGAAGAGATGTTTCAGGGGGATCTAATAGAAGTGTTTAAAATTATGAAAGGGTTCGATAAGGTTAACATAAATAGGCTGTTTTCACCAGTTGGGGAGTCCGTAACCAGGGGGCACAAATACAAGACAGCAACTAGGGAACCAAAAAGAGACTATAAGAGGAACTATTTCATACAGAAGGTACTGAGATTTTGGAACTCGCTGCCTGAAGTAGGGGTTGAATGAGATAGTATTCGACCTCTTGCATTCAAAAAGAAGCTGGCCTTCATATGAAGGAGAGGGGAATAGAAGGATATGGAAGGGAATAAGGAATGGGTTAAGACTCGTGTAGATTTGGCAGAAACTGGTTGGGCAAGTAACCTGTTTCTGTGCTGCACATTCTTTGTAATCCTTGTAAATGCAGCACCTTTCCAATGATGTTCTGGACCATAAGATCAAAGCTCCAAATGTGGGTCTTCAACCTGCAACCTCAGACCCAGAGGCAAAAGAATTATCTACTGAGCCTAGCTGACTTCTATTTTCATTCAGTTGTGGATTTTTGTACACAGATTGTTAATAGTGGAATTCAGCTATGTAAAGTGCTTGTAGATATCCTCCCAATGTAACAGTCACTATACCAATGTAAATTGTATTGTATTAATATTTATTCTGTAAAACTTTCATAATCCTAAAGACCTCCATCAGATCAACCTTAACTTCCTCAGTTCTGGTGAAAAAGTCTTAATTTGTCAAGCATATTTCCCAAACTGAAATCATCTTTTCCCTACTCTCACTCCAAATCTGCCTTTAACCTTTCTTCCAGGACCACTGCCGATCTCATCGATGGCTGTCAGACATCAAGTCCTGGATTAGCTCTAACTTTCTGCAGCTCAAATGTCAACAAGACCAAGGTGTTCCTGGCATGGCTCCCATCAGCATCTTCATATGTCAGGCACTGACCACATTTATTGTTGCAGACTCTCCTAACTCAAAGTTAACATATCGTTAAATGTGTGTTTCTAATCCTACCTACACAACATTGCATTAAATATCCATTTAATTAAATTGTGCAACAGTACATTCCCCGTTGTTCACAGATATCTTCTTAGATAACAATCAAACTCTTGCTTCAATATGGAGGGAAAGCAGACGATACATTTGTTCACTAACATTGGGTTTCAGTAGCAGTAAAAATATGCTAACGTCTAAACTGAGATGAGTGGGATGGAGAAGGGAAAGATGACTGAAAATGTGGACAAAGAAATAAGTTTTGAGACAGACCTTAAAGAGGTGAGGGTGGGAGTGAGTGGGATGGAATTCTAGGGAGCAGGGCAGAAAGGCTGAAGGTCCATCCGTCCATCGATAGTGGGACAGATAGGGTGGGGGACCTGAAGCACGCCAGTGCTTGCTGAGCAAAGGGAGAGGCCAGGTCAGCAGAGCTTGCAGAGTTCTAAGAGGTAGGTAAGGTGGAGCAAGACTGCAGAGGGATTTAATGGTAAGTACAAGGTCTTGAACTCGACAGTACTCCAGGGCAATGCTGATGACAGACCAGCCAGCCTGGCGAATTGACAGGGCTTGGAGGGGCAGACCTGTCCTGGGGGCAGGTATTCATCCCACTCAGCTCCTATTAATCCTGTAAACCAAAGCTTTATTGCGTATGCTGGTCCCAGCTGGACAAACAGTGGGTAGCTTTCCAGGTAGTGCTGTCAGGGATTCCGTATTTCAGATGCAGGGAAATTTTCACATGTAGGTGGCATCCAGATGTGGAACTCTCACCCTTCTTTGGATACTCATAAGCATTGTAAGGGTTTCCCCATGAGGTAAACGCCTGACTGACCAAACATAAACTAAAACAAATGCTACCAGAAGACATGCCATCACTTGTGTGAGACATTAATCTGGGAAGCAACAATCAAGTGCTTTCCCAAAGGAGAGAAATTTGGAGAGAGACAGTCTCAAGGCTTTCTCATGCACCTTCCAGATGATGGCATAAGAGTGGCAGTGAAGGAAGTCTGGCATCAAATCCTGACTACCTTTTCACTTGTGGATGATTGAAAGATGAAAGGGAGAAAAAGGCTTTTTAAAAAAGCTGCAAAACAAAACCTTGATTAGAATACATCAGTAACAACATAGGGACTAATACGCGAATTAAGAGTGAATTGCGCAGGTAGAGATATGTCTGTCTATTTCGTCATTCGGTTGTTAATCTCAGCTTCAACTTCCATGAAGAAGCCATTGTGTCATGGCACCTGGCAGGGGTTCACTGTTTTGATGACGATCCAGTAGGTCACATTGAGATATACCCAGATAACTGCACATCTGCTATTTAGAAATCCTTTAATAAATCTTGCACATTATAAAGTTACTGGCCCAGAAGTTGCCACAAAAAGCTTCCCTGCAACAAAACATCTTACTCTCCCTCATTAAATGCTAAAAAAAACTCTTCTACTTTTTGTACATTATCTCCGAGGATAACATTTCTGTCCCGATACTGTTTTCTTACTATTTTGTTATTCATTTATTGCTTTTATTGTTGAAATGCTCTGATGTATCCTAGGCCCTGAATTCCAGCATGGCTCCCATCACATTTTCTAAATGATTTCTGGCAATATTGACATCATCATTGTACCATTGCCCAATGGCACCATTGCCCAGGATCAGGCATATCCAGCTATATGTAGTGTTAGGTATGAAAATGTTTTCCACAGCCTTTTCTAGATGTTGTGGTTGCTTGTGTGATGTGCTTCACTGTTTGAGGGGGCATGGTTTAACATTGGAAGGGCATCCCCTACTCTACATACCCAAGACATTATAAAACACATGTTCCCAACTCTGTTCAAAGCTCGCCAGTCTGCTGTAGACACTCCCTCTTTCGTGGTTACTATGGCTAAGTGGCTTTTGGAGCTGCCTAAGTATGGATATATAGCCCTGGCTTCTCATCTCCTGATTAACTTTGGAGCCATCCATTTTTTGTGTAATGCATTCAGTAAAAAATAAGGATGCAATGCACATCCAATGCAAAACCTCCTCCCCCCTAAAATGCCCTTACTCTCCCAGCATTCAACTACTGGAATGTTGACCCCACACAATTCAAACAGGAAAAAAACAATTGGAAACGGAAAATATGAGCTTATTATTGGTATATATACACACATATACACATATATACATATATACACATATATACAGTCAATTCACTTTACAGTATATTCTGTGAAGCGCTTTGAAATGTCTAGAAGACATGAAAAGCACTATATCAAATGCAAGGATTAATATTATTATTATACAGTATAGCAACCACTCAACTCAGAACAACTTGAAAAAACAAAATATTTTAATACTCCTAACCCTTTAAACTAACATTTTATCTGGTTCCGTTAAAACCTTGAAAAAGCTTTTAACACAATAACACACACACAATAACCTGTGTGTTACTGGAAAAGCTTTTCGCAATAATTTAACTTGAAAATATTTTTGGAAAACATTTTTTTTTAAATTTACAATTACAAACTACAATTAATAATCAACAAAATTACAAATACATATTAAAAACAACTTAAAATGAAAAATAACTTATAAAATTTCCTAATTAATCAAGAGCTACATGTTGTATATTTTTTTACCAGCAGTCAAATTTTAGATATGAATAATTCCTACCACCAAATGCAGGTCTCATTGAGAAATCATGATCATCCACTCTAAGAAGCTGTTCAGACTTTGGTAAACGATATTTGGTTAAATCTGGACTCCTTCTTAATATAGGACTGTAAAAGAGGAAAATAGTTGATCAGAATCATTGGCTTTAGAAATACATCAACTATGAATAAACACGAATAACACCAGAAAATCAAGTGGCATAATGCAAATTATTTATAAATACCAAAGAATGCAAAAGCAGTTTCCTAGTTAATTTCTCTTCCTTCCCTTGTCTCCCCCAGTCCATTCACAACTAATCATAATATAATAATCCTTGCATTTGATGTAGTGCATTTCACATCTTCAAGACAACTCAAAGCGCTTCATAGAATATACTATAAAGTGAATTGACGGTATTTTTTGTGGGCAAAACACATAGTGTCCCACAAACAGTCATGGATTGAGTGATCAAATTATTTTTATTTTTTCTTGAGAGATTATTATCAGGTGTGTGGAGTAAGGAAACTTGCCCAAGGTATCGCCCTGCCAGGAATCAAACTCAGGTCTCTCACCTGTGAGGCGAGTGCTCTAACCACTGAGCTACAGGACTCCACTACTTAATCTTAACTAAGGTTAAGACGACAGGTGATTCACGACAAGGCTTCCATGAATTCCAAGCTGTTCTTCAGGGATGGCATGAATGGCCTGATGTCAACATTATGACTGATTTCTCTCTTGTTTGAATGAAGTTGCACCTAGCACTTCCTAGTTAGAAATATCATTGAATCGGCTCAGAGACTGAGAAACATGGTTTAATGCTTAGCTTTGGGTACTACGTTCAGTATTTAAGTCTTGGCTGTAACCCCTCTCAGACTATTGGATTAACTTGTAGGAGCTGGTAGTTCTGTAGTGCATTGCCATAACTTGATATGGAATAGATTAGTTATATAAACTCATTTTTCTATTGTCCAATCTGGTATTTATCTTAAACTCAGACTGTATGAATTACTGTAGTGAGTACCAGTTACATTGAATCTATTGGAAGCGTGTTCATTTAAAAGAAAAGGAAATAATGACAACAATAGGGATCCACTAGTTTGGAATAAAGGTAGCAAGCAGTGTTATTTGCTTTGGACTCATGTGGAGTCCTGTAGCTTAGTTATTAGAGCACTCGCCTTGCAAGCGAGAGGACCTGGGTTCGATTCTTGGGCAGGGTGAAACATTGGGCAAGTTTACTTATTCCGCACGCCTCTGTTCACCTAGCAGTAAGTAGGAATCCGGTTGTTAGCAGATTGGCAGATCGCTTTTCCGGGGGTAATATTCCCTTCAAAATAAAAAAAAATTTGGTCACTCAATCCACGACTGTTTGTGAGACACTGCTGTGCACAATTAGCTGCCGCGTTTCGCACACAAAATATGTGAATTCACTTTACAGTATATTCCGTGAAGCGCTTTGAGACATCTCGAAGACATAATAGGATGCTATATCAAATGCAAGGATTATTATTTTTATTATAACTGTGGCTTATCATACTACAGTAGGTTTTGCATTCACTCTGCAAAGACCAACGTAGTATAGGTTTAAAAACTTTCTTAATTAAAATTATGAAATAAGGTTGCTTCTATCAAATTAACTCGGCAGGTGGGTGAACCTGGCTTGGCAGCAAGCTAAAGAAAATGTTTACATGGAAAATCCTAAAGGTCATAAGCATTTCCTTTTCACCAGTGAAAATACAGTCTAAGGTTTATAGCTCGATTGTTCATCTCACTGTACGATGAGGAAGAATACTAAGTAATACACGTGGATCCTCTTCAATCACAGCAACATTAATAACATTCATAACAACAGCCCTTACTTGCTCCGTTTATGGTGATCACCCAGAGGAATCCACCGTCTCTTCCTGTGCTTCCTGCTTTCTGCAACCAGAGTCAGGCAGCAGAGAATCAACATAGTTTTTAAAAAGTAAGGCATGGTTTGCAATCCCGGTACTAGTCCTGCAAAATCCTTCAGTGCAAATCCGTTCTAGTTTAAACATTGAATCGGCTTTTACTCCAGCAGCACATTGTGTGGGATGTCGCAGCCGTCATTTCTGTGCATTGTGTGCATCAATATGACTGGAAGCTCCGACTGTAATCAATGTGACTGCATCTCCAACCTTTAGTGTGAGGGCTGGTCAGTGACTGACAGAAGGGGATTGACCTCAAAGACAGCAATGCCAGGGACGGATGAGTCACTCTGGGTACTAACTAGGACCGTGAGCAGAAATTAATTTCTCTTCATAAGTTTGGCTCAAAACCAATAAGGGTTCATTTTTCATTTTAAATTAAAAGGAAATGGTGGAACAGTACGATTTCTGGGATAGAAGAGCACCAACAGTATGAAAGTTTGCAGGAATGACAGAAATAACACGATTAATAATAAACAGTTTAATTTCACTTTTGTAGCAAATTCAAGCAGGTGACAAAAACAATGTTGGTATATTTTTGCACATAGCAATTTGTTTTTGTTAGTTCTTATCAACCAGTGATCTGAGATGTAATTCAAACCAATTGTTTGGATTCTTAGTTTCAAAATCCTTAACACCTTTCATACAAAATGAACCAGTTTACTGAGGGAAAAAAAACAACAGATGGGATCTACTGTATTTATTTCCCAGAAGTTACTTGTCTTTAATTTTGTAAACATTTGTATCTAATCTCATGAGCTCTAGCTAGAAAAAAATTGACAGTATTGATTTCTCTCTTGCTAGTGAGCAGCTTTTCTTAATCGTAAATATGGGGGGAAATTAATGGACGGCAGTGAATTACAAGACAACAGTTAAGTTCAGCTGATATGGTAAAGAAATGCACCTGATAAGAATCTGTGGGATGGTTTACTTATCCTGGCTGGTGGTCCATACATATTGTCAGCTGTTTAGATAGCTCCCTTTTAGAATTTCTGGCTTGCTATTGAATGACTTACCAACACATAGAATATCACACAGCAAACACCAGATTATTTTGGTTGGCAAAATGCCCAATTATATACCATGCTTTATGCCGCATGATGCAGACGAATGTACTGGTTTTCCTCTTCAGGACATCCATTACCAGACTGAGTTGTTGTATAATACCCCATTTAATGTTGTCTGAAATTAAATATCAGGCATGAGTTTGCCATCTATTTAAAAGATGACAATCACATGGATAGTCCTATATTACTCTTTGAATTAAAATGGCAATGTGCTTATGTGGGAAATTCTCTAAACAAAAAATGAGGATTCACATGGAATAGTATCAGATTTGTGTGGTCATGTGTATTTGTGATTAATGGTAACCAAAATTAATCAAAGGCCACAATGTTTGCATTGAATATAGTGCCTTGCACGTCAGGAGAACATCTCAAAGTGTTTCACAGGATTTACTGTAAACCGTAGTGACGAGGTACTTTGCAGATGAACCCAGCACCAAATTTGCTCACAGCAATGTCCCACAAACAGCCATGAAGTGACCAAGTTCACGTCGGCAGGACATCCCAACGTGCTGAACAGTCAGGGATTTGGAATTGAGCAGGGGGTTGGGATCAGGATGTAATGGGGTATCAGGGTTACCAAAGGCGTGGTCGAAGAGAAGGGTCTTGAGACGGGCCTTGAACAAGGCAAGGGAGGGAGCAAGGCGAAAGGACTTTGGGATGGAGTTCCAAAGGATGGGGGCAGAAAGGCTGAAGGCCTGACCACCGATGGTGGGGGTGGGGTGCCTGGCGGGGATGTGGATCAGGCCAGAGCCTGGTGAGCAGACAAATCGATATGTTAGCAGGTCACAGAGATAAGAAGGAGCAAGGCTGTAGAGGGCTTTTTGAAGGTGAGGACTAGGATTTAGAATTTTATTCTCTGGGGGAAAGGGAACCAGTGGAGCCAGGTGAGGGTGGGGCTGATAGAATCGCAGAGCCTGGTGCAGTAGAGGACACAAGCTGTAGAGTTCTGGATGATCTGCAGCTTGTGGAGGGAATTGGGAAGGCCAACCAGCAGGGAGTTGGCGTAGTCGAGCCTAGATGTAACAGCAAGAGAAACTCCCTTCTTTTCAAACAGTGCCATGGGATCTTTAACATCCACTTGAATAGGCAAACAAGACCTCAGCTTAACATCTTATCCAAAGAATAGCACCTCACAAAATGTAGAACATCTCCAGCAGAACACAACATTGGAGTGTCAGGCTTGACTATGTGACTTCATTTTTCCATTTGGGGCTTGAACCCACAACCTTCTGACTCAGTGGCAAGAGTGCCACTTACTGAACCAGATTGACTATAGAGAGAAGTGCAGAAAGTAATGAATATTCAAGAAACATGCTCTGCTACTAGTTTCCTCAAAGAATGAGGTTATCAGAGGAGATTTGCCCCTTCTGAAGTGGTAGATGTTCTTTATTAGATTTTTACAAATACTCTTCCATTATGCTCAATCCATTACTGTTTGTGGGACATTGCTGTGCGCAATTGGCTGCCGCGTTTTGCCCACAAATATACAGTCAATTCACTTTACATTATACCCTGTGAAGCACTTTGAGCCATCTGGGGCCTCACCATCATCGATAAAGCCATCTTGGACCACCACTTCATCTCCCTCAACACCTCGGTACCCCTTCCTCTTTCTCAACCCTCCACCATCACATACCGTCCATGGAAAAAAATTTCCTCCCTCTCCACTGCCCTGGAGTCACCTGAACTTCTGCACCTCTGGCTCTCCCTGACCGACCTCCCCTCCTCACTCTCTTTTCTCCACAACTCCCTCACCTCCCAGACTGCCTCATACTCACGTAAATCCTCCTGGTATACCAGCCATCTCCGTTCTCTTAAGGTACAAGTGCGAGCTGCCGAACGTGCCTGGACCAAATCCAAACTAACGGTCCATTGGCAGATTTGGCTTCACCACACCAAGACCTACCGCTGCGCTCTTGCCTCCGCCAAATCCTCCTTCTACTCCAAGGTTATCTTGGAGGCAAACAACAACCCCAGGCTTCTCTTTGCCACAACAAACCATCTCCTTCGTCCACCTTCCCATGCCTCACCCATTCTCTCCTCAAAATCCAACTGTGAGGCAATGCTGGACACGCTAGAATCATAAATCGAGGGGATACATTCAGCCACCTCTGCCCCGTCCACAGCCACCCCCACATCATCTCTCCCTCATGACCACCCCCACCCATCCCCCCTATACTCCTTCGACCTATCTCTCCCTCCTCCCTCACCACGACTGTCCGCAAACTCATATCCACCACCTGCTCCCTCAATCCCATCCCCACCTCTCTCCTCATCTCCCAGCTCCACCTTCTGGCCCCTCTCCTGTCCGATGTCATCAACCTCTCTTTGTCCACCGGTTCAGTTCCCACCCCCCTAAAAACAGCTGTTATCACCCTGATCTTGAAAAAAAAAACCTTCCCTGGACCCATCCCTTCTCTCCAGCTACTGCCCCATCTCTAACCTCCCATTCCTCTCCAAGGTCCTGGAATGAGTCGTCGCGTCCCAGCTCCGCTCCTTTCTTTCTCTCCATTCCCTCTTTGAACCCCTCCAATCCGGCTTCCGCGGTGCCCACAGCACGGAAACAGCACTGGTCAAAGTCACTAAGGACATTCTGAATATCTGTGATCAGAGCTCCCTCTGCCTCCGTGTCCTCCTCGACCTCTCTGCCACCTTCGACACTGTCGACCACACAATCCTCATACACCGTCTCTCCTCTTTACTCAATCTTCACGGATCTGCCCTTGTCTGGTTCGATTCCTATCTCTCTCACTGAACCCACTTTGTTGCCACTAACGGATGACACCCAACTCTGTCTTTCTGCCTCCACCCTTAACTCCAGGACCACTGCTGTCCTGACAGACTGTCTGTCAGACATCAAGTCCTGGATGAGGGCAAATTTCTTACAGTTGAATGTGAACAAGACTGAGGCCCTCTTGATTGGCTCGACCCAGCGCCTCAGCACCTCAGGCTCTGGCAATATCAATCTCCATGGTTGCACACTTCAACTCACCAGCCAGTCAGGAGCTTAGGTGTCTTGTTCGACCCTTAACTGTCTTTTATTCCCCACATCCAAGCCATGACCCGCTCTGCCTTCCCTCACCTCCGTAACATGGCCTAACTCCGCCACTACCTCACCCCTCAGGCCGCTGAAACTCTTGTTCATGTCTTCATCACCACCAGGCTCTGCAGCCCATGTCCTCTCCCGCACCAAACTCCGTGACTCCATTTCCACCATTCTTGCCCAACTCCATTGGCTCCCTATCCTTCGGAGGATCCAATTCAAGATCTTGGTCCTTACCTACATAGCCCTCCATGGCCTCACCCCACCCTACCTCTGCGACCTCCTAACCCCCTATCAACCTGCCCATTCCCTCCGCTCAGCCAGTTCCATGTCCCCCAACCCACCATTGGCGGGAGAGCCTTCAGCCACTCTGCCCGCAACCTCTGGAATTCCATCCCCCAATCACTCCGCCTTGCCCCCTCCTTAGCCTCCTTCAAGTCCTGCCTCAAGACCCTCCTCTTCGGCCACCCCCTTCTCCTCCCCTTCCTTCCCCCCCCACCCAGCTCAGGTCTGAAGTCCAGTGCCTTGGGACGTCCTCCCGACGTGAAAGGCGCTATACAAATGTAATCTTGTTGTTGTAGAAGACATGAAAAGCGCTATAGCAAATGGAAGGATTATTATTCTTGTTATATACTTCTGATTGATTCCATTAGTTTTCCAATTATCAAGGTTGGGCTAATAGATCTGCAAATTGTATCTGATCTATCTCTCTCTCCATCTATCAGATAAGGCGTGACTACCTATTTGAATATCGGAACAGTTGTATTACATACTCTTCAATGTTATGTGGAAGGAAAAAAATTGATATTCAAGCTTTGTGTATAACAAAAAAAACTTTCAGTTTCTAAAGTAATAAGCCTCAAATCAAAATGGTACTTTGTTTTTGTGATACTAGTGCATAGAGGAATAGAAACAGAACATTTTATAATAATCTTTGCATTTTATAGCAAATCGTTGAAACATCCCATAGCTCTTCACAGGATAAGTGTACACTTCTTGTACACAATAGTTGTAGTACAAGCACACTAGTTGTAGGCAAATACAGCAGCCAATGTCCTATTGGGAGTCCGTAGCTCAGCGGTTAAGAGCACTCGCCTCGCAAGTGAGTGACCTGGGTTTGATTCCCGACAGGGTGAAATGCAGGTTTCCTTACTCCACACGCCTGTTTAGCAAGCAGTAAGTAGGAACCCGATTGTTAAGTCGATTGGGGGATCACTTTTCCAGGGATAATAATTCCTTCAAAAAAACAATAAACTGGTCACTTCAGCCATGAGAGGTTTGTGGGACACTGCTGTGTGCAATTAGCTGCGTTTCCCCCACAAAATATATAATTCACTTTGCAGTATATTCTGTGAAGCGCTTTGAGAAGCCACAAAGACATGATCAAGCGCTATATCAAATGCAAGGATTATTATTATTATGTGAGCATTTTCTGTAAGAAAGCTTACTATGTGTAAGATTTTCTAAACGTCAAAAAGTTGTCGCAATCAACAACAAAATTACATTTATAGAGCGCCTTTCATGTCGGGAGGACGTGCCAAAGCGCTGAACAGTCAGATGTCGGGGTCCGAGCATGGGGAAGGGGGGGTGTAGGGGTGAGGGAGGGTAGAGGGGTGGGAGGGCGACCAAAGACACGGTCGAAGAAAAGGGTCTTGAGACCGGCCTTGAAGGAGGCAAGGGAGGAAGCGAGGCAAAGGGATCGTGGGATGGAGTTCCAGAGTGTGGGGGCAGAGAGGCTGAAAGCCCGACCACCGACGGTAGGGCGGGAGACATGGAGCAAGCCGGAGCCCAATGAACGGAGGGAGCGGGCAGGTTGGTAGGGAGTCAGCAGGTCAGAGAGGTAGGAGGGGGCAAGGCCATGGATGGCCTTAAAGGTGAGGCCGAGGATCTTGAACTCGATCCTCTGGGGGATGGGGAGCCAGTGGAGTCGGGCAAGGGTGGGAGTGATAGGGTCGCGGAGCCTGGTGCGTGAGAGTACACGAGCTGCAGAGTTTTGGATGACCTGCAGCTTGTGAAGGGAAGAGTTGGGAAGGCCGATGAGGAGGAAGTTCCCGTAATCGAGCCTTGATCAACCCGTAATCAAGTAATCAGAACGATTTGGAACATATCAAGAACTATTGCTTGCACTATAGTCATCTCATTTATTACGAGCATTAAAACATTTCAGGCCATTAAATATTTAACATTTTATATTTTATTGTAATAAACTTAGAGCTTCAACATTTATTTGTAGATTGAACATTGAAGATACAAACGTTGGAAAGCAGAAACAATTTCTTCTGAAATAAAGGGTTCTCAATATTCCAATCTACCCAATGTGAATGCGATTCACTTTTTCCCCACCAGGAAAGTAAAGTTTTGTTGATTGCAATGCTTAAAAATTATATTTCCCACATAAATCAGTATCCTTCACTAAAGCTGAAGCTTCCACTACAAGAATATTGTAGATACATTTAGCAAGTACATTTTTCAGGTGCTTTGAGTATCAATCAATATCCCATGTAATTTAGGGCATTTTATAAATATTCATAACCATGCACCAACCCTTCACAATATAGCTCACTTTCAGCTATGGTGCCATCACTTCAAACCTACCCAGGACTAGGGAGAAATCTCAACCATAAAATATGCAACAATTTACCACATACAATATGAAAAAATAAATGCTATTTATTTGTACAAATGACAGGACATTGAAAAATTATAACTAGACCTAATTAGCCCTAAATATTTCACCCATTTATCTCCCTGGATGGAGTGAGTATATATAGGATATTTAAAACTCCCCTCACTTCGGCAGTCTTTCCAATTGTTGGGTACTTCTAGCAGAAAGGAAGACTTGTAAATCCATGCTCTTTACATTTTCATCTTAAAATTACACAGAACACACATGTAGCAATACATCTGAGATTATTTGATGACATGTAATTTTTCTTTCTAATATACCAGGCAGATAAATCCTAGTCTTCAAAATCCAAGGCAAACATTAATCTGACTGTCAATAAATAGCACATGCGTCTTACAAAGGAAAATGATATCATACAGTGGGTTATTGACCAAAAACTCATGGTTTGAACAATTAAGCATCACAGAATGAGATTATAAAATGTGTCCCCTTACCCCTAAAGTGATATGGCATTGCTTAGATTCTTACACATAAAGTATTTAAGGTCCCTGAAAAATTGGCTCTGTAGGAAACAAAAAGTGGTGAATATCCACAAATAAGAGTGGAATGAATATAGTTTCATTTAATATTTGAAACTTATTTGTAAAATTCTAGTATCCATCTTGCTTGATGGTAAAATGCAATCAATTATATAATGAACTCATGCCCTATATTTAATAGGGGGGGCATGGAAGGGGGGGGGGGGGAGGCATGGAGGGGGGAAATAAAGAGAAGCCAGTCATTTACTTGCAAAATTTAAACAAATCAAATCTGCATAGCAATCTGCATAACAAAAAGATCCCATCATACAACTTTGAATCAAAAATTCAATTTTGTAATCATGTATACACCCACAATGGTGGCCAGCCCCCCAATGCCTAAGTCAATATGCATCAGACCTCAGGTAGGTACACAAAATATCAACTTCAGCAAGCTCGTATTTCTGCTTCTTTTCACTAACAGAGATTGTTCTACAAGTAAGTAACCTCTTAATAATCTCCGCAAGACAAATGCTACTTGCTCTTTTACCAAAAGATGAAAAAAAATCACTCAAAGAACAGTTATGCATGTATTGTCTACTCACTTTTAGAGGACCTGATGATTTCCCTTTCCACCCATTTCATATCACTTAACACTGGGATATCCAACTGATCAATTGTTGCTGAGTGGCACTCACACGCATGATTAAAAAGAGGAAGGAGCGATAGAACTACGTAATTATTTAATCCAATTGAAAACAAAGCCTGATGGAAGAAATATCTGATGCATCTCAGAATAAAAATACAAACGTTATAAATTGCGGTAAATATCACTTGTTTTTATTGAGCATGCACGAGACGCCACTTAGCGCTGATTGACCAGTTGGAACCCTCCCCAATCTAACATCGTAACAATTCAGCTCCTCTATGTATGAAAGCTTTCAATTTGGTATGTAAATTCAACAAGACCTGGTCATGGAGAAAGTAGGAGTACCTACTGGCAGAGGAGGACTAAAGTTAATGATTTTCTACAAAAACTATATTTGGCAATATTATCTCTACAGGCAACTTTTCTTTGTGTGCATACTTTATGTTAATTGGCTGACTAGATCTATATTGGTCTTCAATTTAATTTGAAGTATTGCCATGAAATCCCCATATGCAGCATAAATCTAATGTTACAAGAGGTGATAATTTATAGGTGAGGGGAATAGGAGGGGTGGGAGCTCGGGAGGAGTATAACAAAATGACCAATTTCCGTACCATATGATTCTAAACAGCTATGCATTTTGCCTGACAATGGAGAGACACGCACTCTGCATTCAAAAATGCAAGTTATTTAACTGCATACCCAAGTAATGTCCAATCACATAATCTATTACAACACTCACTGCCAGGTCAAAGCGGTGAAAGTTGCATCTGATGAATTTTACAGTGGTCCACAGAAACTTTTCAGCAAACTGAAATTCAGCACCCTCAGCACGACTGACCTTTTGCACAGCACAGCCTTGACAGGAATTATAGATGAGTGGAACAAGAGAGGCGGGGGCTCTTGTGGAGTATAATTAAATAGCTTGTTTCCATTCAGTATTGGCATGGAATTTGATCAGAACTGATCTCCAACAGGCTCCATTGTGAGTTTTAAGATCTGTGAAGCGCTCTGTTTATTATCCCCAAGGCTAGTTAATTATGCACACTTTCTACCTTCCATTTTGAGCAAGCCTCTGGAAATCTAAAACACCCCTCTAGTACATGATACTCGGATATATTAAACCCAGTCTATGGCTATGTAAAGCAACCAATTGTTATAATTCATAGTCAAATCTGTATTCATTAGCCATGTAGATCCGCCGGAAAATGAGCGCAGCCAGTGCTAATGTGAGCACAACAATTAGGACGGTCGACGCTATGTGATTAGCAGTTGCTGGCCGATGGACTTGAGGGTACGGTGGCGAAATTGGACGCCTTGCTTGTTGCAGCTGCTGCTGAGCACGTCGTTGCCTTGGGCTGAGAGAAGTACTGTTGGGTCTGCTCTGGGACGATTCCGGAGTAGTAGTACGAGTGCTATCAGCAATGGTCTGCAATGAAACAAAATACATTAAAAAAAACTCAGAATTTGAGTCATGTTTTTATAGATTAAAAATATCAACAGAATGCAAGTTCTTTGCCCTCAACCCGCAAGCTTATTTATACAGATAAATGGTTATCATTGGCAAACTTTCGTCACATCCCAAAAATACAAGGTAAGTAATCTGATCGTCAATCTTAGCTCTCACTCTGCTAGTTAGTCACCATATTTAACATTGCACATGGTTCAATATGCCTCAGCAGAGTTAGTGCAGAATTATCCACTACTCTTCAATTGATAATTTTAGTCAGTTTTACACAGAGAGTTCTCGTGTGACAACGGTACATAACAGAGGTTCCTTGGATGAGATGCAATTTGAGATGCACTGAACTGCACCAACTACTTGTATTTACATAATGCCCTACACGAGGGTCAGTGCCTCGGAGCGCTTAATAGTGGCAGAGCCTGACACAGAGCCAGGGGGAGGGAGGAGATGACTATAAGCACGATCGAAGAGGAAGGTCTTCTGTCATGATCTAAAATAGGGGAAGGAGAAGGTAAGGTGGAGGGATTGAGGGAGAGTTCCAAAGCATAATGGCTGAAAACACTGCCTCTGAGGGTGGAGTGAATGGCACGAGGGACGAGCAGGAGGCAGCAGGTAGTGAAGTGGGGAGAAAATAAGTCGGAAAAGTAGGGAGGTACCAGGGCATGAAGGGATTTGTAGATGAATGAGACTATCTTAAAATCAATTTACATCCTAAAGCACCATTGTTGCATTTAGCTATTTACACTTTGGTTTTTCCTAGTCAACTCATACAACTGGGATAAAGACAGATAAGTATTTCTCATAACATCATTAAAGCTTAACTCTAACGTCTGGATGTCTTACCACAATCTACTAAAACTATTAGCTAAAACATTTGTTTCCGAGGGGGAAAGCCCTCATTATTCAATCTTATTGCTGCAAAATAATTACTTTGTTATCTCACCAATTATAATAGGAACCTGGTAAAGTTACACAATTCGGGGACATTTCCTGATTTAAACTGTAAATTCAACCAAGCTTTTCTACTTTTTTCTCTGAACACAAACAGCAGATGGACAAACGTACCACTGGATTTTTTTCTACAAAAACAATCCCCCGTCTCCGTCACTGCAACACCACAGCTTATCCTGGATTTAACTACAATTTATCTGCGAATTCAAGCTAAATCGCCCTACTCCCCTCCCAAAAGCTATCATTTGGCTGTGCTCCAAGATAGGCTTTCATTATGGATCAGTATTATGTAACTAGAAACAAGCAAATGTGGTTTCAATATCAAGAAGAGTGACAGAATTTTACTGCGACTTGTAGGCAAATGTTGCAGCCAATTTGCACACAGCAATGTCCCACAAACAGACATCAAGTGAATGATTAATTTCATCTGGGGGATTGTTAAGCCAGGACACCAGGAGAAATTCCCTTTCCTCAAATTGTGTCATGGAAATTTAACTTGAACCAGCAGATCAATCATAAAAAAATCCAAATCAACCGATTTCAGAATCATTTGTTAAATGTACACAATCTATGCATCAGTTTAAAATCTCATCTGAAGGAAGATTGCACTTCCTACAATGCCGCACTTCCCCAGCATTGTGTTAAGAGTGAGAGTCGTGATGGGGTTGGTATACACTGTGGCACCTCATTTTGTTGATTCTAAAGTTGTCACATTAGCCATGAATATCAATGATGATTTAATTAGAGACACTTTTAAAAGGGAGGTCATTAGTAGTCGATTTGTAATGATTCCCACACAATTTGTGGGAATTCTCTTTCCTAAAGTAGCTCAGTATATAGCTGATCTGAATTTGTATGTACAAGAGAGTCTTTCTAAGCTTTACTGCAGTTATATCACAAGAAATAAAGAAAAAAAATCAGCTTATACACACCTCAGTTGCCCCTTCAACTTCTGGAGTAGTTTGAGTGGTTGGAGCATGTTGTGACACTGAAGTATCTTGATTTATGTTTGGTTCAGGTATTGGTGCTGGACCAGATTCAGCAGCAGCAGCAATAGGAACAGGGGCAGCAGCAGAATTTGTCTCTGCCTATTGAAAGAAATTACAAACTGGAATCAGGATTCATAAATATTTTCCGACCAGCACATTATTATGGTTGAGAAGAAAATTAAACATAAAACACAGTCACTGTGAAACAACAGGTCCCAATTTCTAAATAAACTGCACTGTTTTAGTCATTTAATTAAAAGTGCTTCCTTTGTAGTTGTTAAGCGTTGTGTGAAGCTACAATTAGTCTGTAGAACTGCACTTGGGCCTGGATTTTATTCATTAGCCAAGTTCATCATTCAGTCTGCAGCTAGAGCTCTCCCAGTTGCTGGAGGAAGAGAATTCCTTTGTTTGCTACAAAATTCTGTATAATGAAACAGGCACTAAAACATAACCACAAGGACAATAGCAACGTTCAAGTTTTGAAAATGCTAAAACATCAATTTGCCACACTGTCTCTTTCATTAAAATATTCAATAATATGCCTGGACTAAATGTTTTAATTTGGGGAGTTGTCTAGATCTATCATATAGCACACAGATATTAATCTGCTAGGTTGAATCCCCTTACCATTCTCTAATGGAAACAATCGAATAATATAGTTAAAGTAGTATGGATAAACTCAGTTTGGGATGCATTCTGGAATATACATAATACATTCACTTACGTATTTAACAAAATCTAAACAAACCAAATACCTTAAAATTGATCCGTTTAGCTAATTCTTTGGCCTCCTTGTCAGCCTGGCTTGGAATGCTGGCTGTTGTACTTGGAAGCAAGGCTAGCTTCACATTAGAGCCACAGGTTTCACAGTTAAAGTCTTGTGACCTAATTTGTAAAAATAAAAAAGTTGTCGTAAAGATTTCAGTATTCAGTGTTAAGGATTCCAATCAAGGATGCAAGGAAGACATTTCAGGAATACCTTAGGAATAGTGTCAGCTCCAGGAAATATCAAGCAGCCTGCGATATCATCATAATACTTGGTTTAGCACCTTTCACTTCAGGAGTAAGTCTCAAAGTGCTTCACAGGATATACTGTAAAGTGCAGTGGCTGTATTTGTAGGTGAACCTGGCAGCCAATTTGCACATAGCAGTGTCCCACAAACAGCCATGAAACAAATCACCAATTTTATTTGTGATTGTTGGCCAAAATACCAAGAGAAACTTCCTCCTCTGTGAACAGCACCACAGTATCTTTAACATCCACCAGACATGCAAATGGGGCCTCAGTGTAATGTCTCATCTGAAGGATAGATACTGTGATAGCAAAAACGTATTACAGTAATAAAACTACATAGATTATTCAGCTAATCCTTCACTAATAAAACACAATCAAGTTTTTAAATACATTTGACTTTCTATAATCCTAGCATTTGATATTGTGCTTTTCACGTCAGCTGGATTTTTCAAAGCTCTTCACAAGATATATTGTAAAGGGTAGTTACTACGGACATTTGGTTCAGATCGTACCTCTCACACCGCCTGCACTTCACCTCCTCAAACGGCTTCTCCTCTAGCCCCAGACCGTCTTGTGCAACGTTCCTCAGGGCTCTGTCCTTGGTCCCCTCCTCTTCAATATCTATATGCTCCCTCTTGGGGACATCATCCGCAGACATGGGGTCAACTTCCACATGTATGCGGATAACACCCAACTCTACCTCCACCCTTGACTCCAAGACCACTGCTGTGCTGACAGAATATCAAGTCCTGGATGAGAGCTAACTTTCTACAGAGCTAACTTTCTTCAGTAAGACCGAGGCTCTCCTGATTGGCTCCGGTCAGCGCCTCCACACCTCAGGCACTGACAGCATCACCACCCGTGGTTGCACACTCCACCTTACTAAGCCAGTCTGGAACCTTGGCGGATTGTTTGACCTTCAACTATCCTTTCTACCCCACATCTGCGCCATGACCCGCTCTGCCTTCCCCCACCTCCGCAACGTCGCCCGGCTCCGCCACTGCCTCCCACCAAAACCCTCATACACGCCTTCATTACATCAACGCTCGACTATGCAAATTCACTGCTTGTCGGCCTCCCCAACTCCTCCCTCCACAGGATGCAGATCATCCAGAACTCTGTAGCCCGTGTCCTCTCCCACACTTTCCCACTGCTTTCGATCTCTCTGCTTCCCCCTGCCCTCCCCCACCCCGATCCTCAGCTCAGGTCTGTAACTCTGTCTGTCCAGCGCCTTGGGACATCCTCCCAACGTGAAAGGCGCTATACAAATGTAATTTTATTGTTGTATTATTTTTGCTTGTTCAGTTTTCTTTTTTTCCTCTATTGTTGTAGCATTTCTAAGTAACATGCCATACTAACAAATTGAGCAATATCCATATTTACAGCAAGCATTTTATATTTTAAAAAATCCATTAGAAAAACATGGCTGCTCTCCAGAGTAGAATTAGTATTTTATCCATGAGTAGATGGTATGTATAATCCATGCTGGAACATACCATATTTGTCTCAGAGGATAGCAACTAGATTTTCTCTCTTTGGGTGTGTAATTTGATAAGATTTTGAAAGTTGAGGCTCGTTGGAAATGGGATGCTAGGGATTTCTGCATCATCTTGTTATAATGGGCCCACACAACCAAAAGATGGCCTTCTGTCCGGCTTCATGGTTGTTACTGATGTCACCACTGGTGCAGAAGGACGGTCTAGAAACACTTGCAAGAGCAGTTGCAGCTGATTTGCCAGCTTCCTGCTCGCTGCACAGAAAGCTGCACTTACAGCAGCTGTGAACCCACAGGACACACACTTTAAATATTAATAGTCACTATGTTTTTCAAAGCAGGTTTTCTCTTCCCACCTTTAGAGAAACATGGGAAAATACAGGTCCAGAAAAAAAGCAATTGTAAGCAATCTAGCTGGCAAGACAGAATAGTTAAAACATTCCAGCTGCTTAAAAGCATCAAGATATATAGAACAAAACAGTTTAAAGATGTTATCCTGGGGTTGGTTTATATCGATTCCACTGATCACAGACATGCCTTCAGCAACATTGCTGTATTATAAATAAGGTTGTGCTGGAATCAGCTGCCAATAGTTATCACGGTCAATAAAAGCAAAAAAATGTATAGGAGTGTTAATCGTGTAGTTGCTAGAAAATAAATTCAATCAGTATAACATGAGACCAATTCTTAGTTATATGAACACAGACAAAACTTCTTACTTTTTGGCTAGTGCTTTTCTCTCTTCAGGAGTGTAATCCAAGGAACCAATGGCTCCTTCACCTTTAGTTGGCATGAAACCGATTATAGCTAATAATGCAGTTCGTACTAGGAGAAAAAAAGTACATAATTCCAATTTAACAGTCTTTAAAATATGCTTTATTTTCTTCACACTTCTCTCTCTTTGTCTCCGTGTCTTATACTATAACATACCTCAACTAAAGAAAGTGATTTGCCAATATACTCGCTAACCAGGCACATGGTATACAAGAACAACTGGACTTTCGCTTTCCCTCAATTCCTAAGGAGTGGGAAGGGAGAAAGCATTTACCAGCTGATCAGAAGCTCCCCACAATGGCATGGCTAAAATTATGGAAAGTTAACAGCAAATAATGTTTTGAGGTAAACTCCTCACATGAATAGAACTACATTAAATTCCCAGATTATTTATTATCTTTTATTATTTATTCTACCACTGTAGCAAAATGGAGGAACTGTGATCCACTGCTTTTCTATTTCTGCACCAGTCAAAAAGATACATTTCTGATGAATAATGTTTCAGCTACTATTAATAATACAACAGAATACTAATACTGGTATTTTGACATACTGTAGTGCCTTTTGATTTACTGTGAAGTGCAGAGACTGTATTTGTGGGTGAAACCCAGCAGCCAATTTGCACACAGCAAAGTCCCACAAATAATTCCACAACTGAAATGAATGACCAATTCTATTTGGAAGATTGTTGGCCAGAACACCAAGAGAAACTCCCTTCTCTTTTCGAATAGTGCCATGGGATCTTTAACATCCACCTGAACAGGCTGACAGGACCTTGGATTAATGTCTCATCCGAAGGACAGACCCCCAGCACTGCTTTGGCATGTCAGCTTAGTATATGCAAATTCAAATCCTGACATGGGGCTTGAACCCACAACCTTCTGACTCAAAGGCAAGAGTGCTACCCCGAGGTCAGGCTGACACTGCAGAATGATGAATAGATTCAAGATTGAGTGGATGACTCACTGCTCCAGGATGGTTGCCAGGTTTCAGGATGATGCCCTGAGATGCTCAAACAGATCTTTTTTCCTACCTCAAATCTTCCATTTTGCTGAAACAGAAAAAACAAACTTCAAACCACTGCAATATTTAATTTTTTTTGCAGATTACCGAGTTCAGAAAATTACACAGAACATTACAGCACTCAAATAAGTCATTCAGCCCTGATTTTTATACCCCACATGAGCCTCCACCCCTCCTAAACTCCTCTATTCCCTCCTCCCCCACCACCCCTCTCTCTCTGCATTGTTTCCTCTTAAATACGTTGATGTTTTTTGCTTCAACCACAATCTTGAGTTCCACATTTTCATCACAAACTACATAAAGAGATACCTATAAACTCCCTTTTAGATCGGCTACTAGCTTTATTACATTTTGTTTTGGACTCGCCAACAAATGGAAACAAACTTAACATTTCCTCATCAAATCCTTTCATAATTTTAAATGCCTCTAAGGAGGCCTCCCTTTGCTCAGAGAGCACTAGTAGTTTTATTTCCCACCCTTCGATCAGCGGCAGGCGATTTCAGCCATTCTGGTCCAGCGCACTTGAATTATATCACCGAGTTCTTCCAAATCACTCCTTCCAACCGCTCATATTTAAGATGATCACTCGTTTCAGCTTCCAGCCCAACTTGAATGTTCAGGCAGCTCTGTGAATGCGCTTTCCTTTATACAGGGCCTTTTCATGTCTTCCAAACATGAAAGGTTCTGTATAAATTGAATTGTATTGTACATTTCATTTCCCAGCATTAACTCAGAGTAAAATCAAGATAAATACAATTAGCTTTTCCAACAACTTTGCACATTAAGCTTTTTCCTCACAACCACTGGACAAAATAAATCATATTCCCCAGAACTCAGCCGAAACACAAGCTTTACTACTTAACATTCAACCATTGGTGAAGAGAGTAGGAACTATTAGTGTGGGGACTATTATATAAAGACCAATAAGGAAAATGCTTCTCAGAGACTAAGAGGAAAGCAGTTTACAATATTTAACTTGGTGGTACCAGCTGTATTAGACAGAGCACCTCCAGTACAGGTCAAGGAAATATAATGACAACAATTTGCTGGATTTACCAACGAATGGGCAAAGACTATTAACATCCCTTTATCTCTACTCCACTACAAATAAAAACAAAGTACAGCTTCATCTCTAGCTGAATTACAAACTTATATCTGAATGAACCATCTCTCCTGTAAGTATTCTTTCAGGAAATTATTCCAATGGACTTTATTTGGATACTATTAAAGTGTACCTCAAACCAATGCTATCCATGCCAATCTCACCCTATCCAAAGTACATTTCCCATTTTAACCCATGAGAACGTACAAAATAAATAAGGCAAATATAGATTATCTAACTATTCTATTTCTCTGTATGGATATGGCCTGCATCTTGTAGGCTGTTGCAAATTTATAATTTCAGTTTAAGAGAATAATCTCTTACCGTGAGGAGAATGATGCTGGGTGGCTTCATGGGATACTCTGGAGGAAGCACAATTCGGCCATGGTACACTCCACCATCAAAATCAGAGTCTGGTGGACCCCGAACTGTGAAATGCCATTCAAAGAGATTATCCTGAAAAAAAATTAAGTTTTTTTTGGATCGGCTGGATATCTGACAAACGTAGACACACCAAGTTTAGGAGTTTCCAAACTAAAGTAGCTTTTCATATATGTAGAGGTTAAAATGCTCATGCATGAAGGGAAGCCTGACTGTTTTGTTCTCTTCTAACAGCCTTTAAAATTTATAAATGAGGAAGTTATAATACAATCAAATGTATTTATATAGTGCCCTTCACAATGACAGGACTTCCCAAAGTGCTTTGTTACAGTGCACCCAGACACAGACAGAGCTTGGCAATAGTCTATCCAATAAATGCCTCTGAACAAAACACTACATTTTTACACTATACAATCTCCAAACAAAATACTACTGAAATGTGCAGTAAGGTTATGTCTTCAGATTCAGCAATAATGAGACAAAAGACAAACCACCTTAGCATTTTTGAAATAATTATAATTTAACCACAAGATAAAGTGCAAACTGTACAATATACTAATCCTTTCCGCACACTATTTTTAATTAATGAAGCAATGCAATACAGCTTTCTCAGATTAAATATAAATTAAATTAAATATAGCCTCAAATATAACTTAATTGTTATAACTGCAAGGTCCCATTTCAGAAATCCCAAACTGTGTTATAATGAGATCCACCTGTATTCTATCAGTTAGCAAAGGTGTGAGTCACATTGGACTTGTTTTCCCCCATCCCCCAACCAAACGTGTCAAACGTTCTTATTTATTATTGATATTAACTTTTGCTTCTTACCTCCAAAGGCTGTGCATGGTATTGTTCTGTCGGATCCTTTAGTTCTTGTGCTTCTTTCATTAAACGTTTGACAGCTGTTTTGAAAAAAAGTTTTTTTTTTTAAATTTAAAAAAGTTTGAAATTATGATGTTGGGTAGACGAATAATAGTAATCCCTGTATTTGTTATAGCCCCTATAACGTCAACATATTTCAAAGGATATGTTTTTCTGTAGTGAGTGACTGTATAAGGCATCCAATTTGTGCACAATATTCCACAACCAGCCAAGAAGTGAATGACTAACTTTAATCTTGTTGCGTAGTGACATAGGATCTTTAAAGTTTCTCTAAACAGTTAGACAGGAACTCAGTTTAACATCTCAACCAAAGGACAGCACCTCTGAAAACCCAGCTCTCCTCAACCTGCTTGGAGAGTCAGCCTGGAATACAAACTCAAAGTCCCAATGTGGGGCATGAGCCCATAACTTGTTGACTCTACATGCATTTCTCTTACCTCAACTCTAAATTCGGATTTTTAGACAATTTCTGAATTTATGTATCAGAATTCAAAACAAACTGATTTTAAAAGCAGGAAACACTCCAAAAGGAACAAAATATTTAAGACCAAGAAAGGAAATAAAGTATAAAACAGATTAAGAGGCACTAACAGTTTACAGGTTATCTGAATACTATGGTTAACTGAGATAACCTGAGAACACCAGTATTCAGGTCTGGCTGGATATTATGAATTGGAAAATAACTGCAATTTCATAATGGTTCTGCAATACTCTCTGGAATTAAATGCTTTCACTATTATATCAAATCTGAACAGAAAGTATCCTGGATTGTATTAAGCTGTATTTACTCAACAGGTATTGTTTTCCATTATGCAATATTCTCTTGAATAAAATAGCATCTTCATTGTGCCAATATTCAAAATCTGAACAAAAATACTGTATCCTGGATCATATTACTCTTCATTTACACAACCAGTATCGTTTTTAGTCCTTCAAGAGATTTTTCCACCAAATGAAAATACATGTAAAAAAATCATTTAATCTGCCTTATAATAATAATAATCCTTGCATTTGATATAGCGCTTTTCACGTCGGGAGGACATCCCAAAGCGCTTCACAGAATATACTGTAAAGTGAATTGACTGTATATTTGTAGGCGAACGCGGCAGCCAATTGCGCACAGCAATGTCCCACAAACAGTCGTAGATTGAAAATGACCAATTTTTTATTATTGTTTTTAGTTTTGGAGGGATTATTAATAGGGGTTACATTACAGGAGGAAATGAGAAGATTGCTAATGCCACAATCAACATAAAATGCACCAAAAACAGAATCAAACTACAATTAAAATCTGTTTGAAACCTTAAAGTTTTCTAACACAGCAACTTAAGTTCAGGTTCAGAGAATATTAGAAAAAAACAAGCCTTGGTCTACTGGGCCTTGACCCATAATTAAACTATAGTGCTGACTTGTACCTAAGTTACCTCCAGTTCTCCCAGTGTACACTACAAGAAAGAAGATATCTTTATATTTAAAAATCACTTCAAGATGGATACAGCATTGGGTGCTTAACATGATATAAGAAACATTCCCCTCTCTTCAGAGATTAGTGGCTACCCAGATAAAAAAACATTCTGAGTCGAGTCAAATGCATACTCCAGTCGTTTGTTAAAGCAATAATGAAATATTTCCTCTATTACCATATTTATTTCAAAGGTATCGGACATCAAAATATTCCTAACAATTCCATATCGCAACAGGAAAATACATGTAAATATATTCTACATAATCTGTCATGGTTCCATAACTTCACTCAGTTATGAAGGATCTAATTTTGGCTGAGATGATGCCATTCATTTAATATTTTACAGTAACTGCATTTTTCTGTGCTTGAACCAGAATACAGCAGATGTTTGCCTGCAAAAGTGATGTTTACTTAATTGCTTTTTGCACTCCTTGCCTCTTATGAAAATGGTTTACCAGATCATACTCACTGCGAAAAGTACATCGACCAATGACTCCATTAAGAGAACACTGTACATGCCTTAAAAAGCAATCTTAATTTCTCTACAATTTAGATCTAGTTAATCTCTGATATGGAAATTACATAAGAAGAGCATTACCAGACACACTTAATTACTTTTATTTCAGACCAAACGGACATGATTCCGAGCAATTTTCAGAAAAGGGAACATCTGTGCATTTGTTAAAACATTTCAGTGCTGAACTCCTGTAACCTTTGTTAACCACTTTTATATAATTTTATTCTGTGATTAAGCAAAGACAAAATAATAATAAATAATATTTCCATGAAAACATGGGTCCTTCTTCAGTGAGGTCAATCTATTGGCAGGGTTATATTGGGAAGTGTTGGGAGACCTAAAATATAATAACTTACATTTATGCACCAATAAAATAAAGCAGTTATTTAGACTAGTGGAAATATTATTTAATATGATCTTGGCTTCCTTAATCACAGAATAAAATTATATGAAAGTGGTTAACAGAGGTTGCATGAGCCCAGCAATGAAATGTTTTACAATTGTACAGATGTTCCCTTTTCTGAAAATTAGTCAGGATTGCACCCTTAATTTAGAATAACTTCATGGTGTGTTTTACAAAGCCAAGATCAGACCAGAGCGCGGGGGGGGGGGGGGGGGGGGGCACAGGGAGAAATGACCATAGATGCAGTAATGAGTTTAGTTTTTGGTAGGATTTAGAACCAATGGAGGTTAGGAGATGGAGGGAATTCTAGAGACTAGGGAGTGTAAACTGACTATTTAAACTGGTTCTGCTGGCATATAAATGCACCAATTACTGTGCAAAAACACCCCAGATGCACCATATAATAAATTAGTTTAGGTGTAAATAACCCACCAATCTTCCCTACCTGTAGGGAACCTTCACTGGCAAATGCAAACAAATTCACTGGGTGGAGGGATCATGTTCTTTAACTTAAGTTCTATATAGGATATAATTTACTTTAATTTGTAGAGGACATTTGAATATAATCATTTTTTTTGAAAAAAAAGGTTAAAGCTCCATAGAATTAACTGCAAATAAAGTTGCTGGATTGAAAGTTTATCAACAGGAAACAGTGATGAGGTCTGAGAGGAGTAGTGGTGGGGGGAGCGTGGGAGATGGAAGAAAAAGTAGTGACATGCAGAGTTGCAAGGAATTATAGAGCTTGGTCTTATTGAAGAATGAATGCTCAATGTCCATGCCAAAGAGTGACTTCAGCTCAGTGTCACTCTGTACAGCAGGAGGTTAGACACGCGATTAGTCTGTTAGGTAATATCTAACTCTTTTGAAAGGGGAGCATGGTACACAACCACATCAAATCCAGTACGCTGGACAATCAGTACAGGGTAATCATTAAGCCCCTCAGGCAAAAAGCCAGATAGCATAAATACAGGTTTAAAGATTGCAATGGACATGGATTCTGCTTGCAAGGTTGATAGCCCAGAGGCCATTACAAGGAGTTATGGTTCAGGGGAGGGTGGGGTAGAAATCACATCTACATGGAGTGTGGTTATATGTTACCCGTTTTAAATAAGATACCCTGGTCAGTAACAACCAATAGATTTTCAAAAAGTCAGAAAAATAGTCTTATCTGATCCGCCAGCATTCTTCATTGGTTCATCGTGTCCATTCTCATGTCTACTCCAGCCCCTACCCATTAGGAAACCATTAGGAAATTGTGCAAGAGTACGAGACTGCCCAATGATTTAGTAGGTAAATGGTCTGGTGCCAGATAGACCAGGAAAGTCCCAGGTTTGGTTTCTAGTCTCAGATTTATTTATTGTGGATATTTCAATAGGACAACAATGGGAAATTACAATTGACCTCAAGGTCTCCGAATCAGGGAGAAATACAAAACAAAATTGTAAATAGTTTATTTTTAAGCTGGAGGAAAGGGGGGAGAAAAGCAATTGGCAGGATATCAACCACAGTTCAAATTACACCCCTGTGGAGTTTGAAAGAACTGGAAAGAAAATAACATTTAATGCAATTTATAAATATCTTTTCAATTACTGTGAAGTGTCTTAGCATTGACATAATACAAGGTCCTATAAACATGCAGGTTTTTTTTTCTTGGTACATAATCGGAGTCATTGGATTCCTACTAGACTCAAGATTTGCATTTCTGAAGTGGGTAGTGTCACAAGAGTGCTTTATCAATCACAAGGAAGAAAGAAACAAGTACTGTAATTGATACACATAGCAATTTGCATACTGATATGGAACAATGCCCCCAAGTGGTGAACCCAACACTTGTTTAAAAAATGCAAACCGTCCTCAAAAAGTCTTCAAAATTTGATCGTACTTATGCTGTGTACCTACTGGAAATCTTCTACTTGAGGATCAAATGCAGTAGCAATACATTCACTTTACAATCTACAACAAATATTGTTGAAAACAAGCCATGAGTAACTTTCATGTCTGTTTCGATGTTTTATAAATTCAAGGATTATTATTATAAACATTCTCCCTAAACAATGAAACTTAGAGCTGATATTTCCCTCAATATATTTTTTCTCTCTTCCCACTTTACAATTAAAAACACAACGGTTAAGTGGAAAGTTTACATTTTACAAAGTAGCGAAGGAGAATTCCAGACCATTAGGAGTCTTCATGTATAATCTCGCAAACTTAATTAAATAGAACTGAAACCAGCCTCATCACAAATTAATCCCCACAGGTCATCCAAAATTGTGGAATAAGGCATTTTTAAAACAAAAAAACAGAAATGAATCTGTTGAAAAGTAAGACTGCAACAAAGTCATGATTTTTGGTCCAAATGTTGCAACCACAGTGTGTTAAAGTTGTGGTTCTGGCTCAAGTTCTAGTATTTAGGTGACTCCCATGGGACCATCCATCTGTCTCACATTGAAGCAGCCACCTGTCTCACGATAGTCATTAAAACTTGCAGCAACTATAAAAAGTTGGGATGTGTATTAAAAGTCGAGGTCCGCAATACAATCTCCATTTTCTTACAGCCTTATTAATAAAACATTTTTCTTATATAATTTCAATCCTGGCTGGTTCTCACTGTGTGAATATTAAATGACATGATACCTACCTTAATACCACAGCCTTTTCATAAACATGGAATTTTCTCAAATAAACAAGACCACTATACATGGAAAGTGCTCTGTGTCTGGAATGGATTGCGCACTCTCTCTATGGAGGGATACCCCATGCTTCCCAATTCTGGATACTATTCGGCCCAGATTGATAAGAGCCGGGTGTCAACCAAAATGGTTTACTAAACAAGCTATCCCATCAGCAAGCTGAGCAGCACTAGAGCTCCCTTATTCACTCGTAGCACTCAAAGGAATCAACTTAGCTTGAACATTTAGAAGAACTTAAAAAAAAATACAATCTGCTCAGACTAGTCAGCTGTCAGCATTAGGAAGACTTCCACTAGGATTTTCTTAGCCACTGCAACAAAGTCATGATTTATTTGAGTGAATAAGGGAGCGTACACTTAATTTAGCTTTCGCAGTTCCCTCAGAGCGTTCAATGAGGAAGCAAATTTATTTTTCTAGTAACAAAATGCCATTAAAAAAAACCTATGGGCTGCTATGAACAAATGTTTTAACTGTCGAGTAACTTTATCTTTTTAAAAAAGACTCAATTCACTTTAAAAAATGAAAAGGGGATGGACCTATCTATTTACCTATCTATCTGAGTGCAATTAGCTGCAACGTTTCACCCACAAAATATACAATCAATCCACTTTACAGTATATTGTGTGAAGCGTCTCAAAGACGTGATAAGGTGCTATATCAAATGCAAGGACCATTATTATCTAAGCTACCTTTTCAAACCTTTAAAGAAATATTAAGTCAGATTCTTTGTTTGCTCGTCAAAAAAGACATGCAGCTTAAGTGCTACAATTACTGAAATACTCAAGCTGCATGTCTGTTTTGCCCAGGAAATGTCCAGGCTGAATTATTGAGCAATTACCATGTAATCACAGTAAAATTAAAAATTTATGAGCCGTCTTGCTATAATACACCAATATAACTCAACATATAACCTCTACTCCTGCAGATACTTTCCACCATAATAGTGACAGAATTAGGCTGCAGTTACTCTACCAGTAACAATTTAATGCCAATAGTAAAGCAATTTGGAGCCAGCACTTTGAAGTTCCAAAACACTCCAGCCCAAGGCAAAGTCTGAGTAAAGTAAGTCTGTACTTGCAAATCTAAACGTGACTAACTAATGTCAAATCCTAGTTACTATATAACAGAATTAAGAACAGAGAATATAGCCAGTTTTCCAACAATAATAACCTGGACCACCGAGAAATTTTTACACTGTTAAGTTACCTTTTCTTCAGTTATTTCATGGAATCAGACCAGCGTTGTCCTAGAGCTGCTTAAATAGATTTAATTTTCAAAACAAAAAATTCTGGAGGTAGTATCACAAGTCTGTTGGGGGGTGGGGGGGTGTTGCATTTGATGGACGTGCTGTGCTTTGGATGAAACATTAAACCTAGATCCTGTTTGCTTATTCAGGTGTACTCTTTGAACATGTATGTTAAAGTCTCCATAGCACTATTGGAAAAGAGGAGTTTCTCACAGTATCCTGCAAATAAAATTGGAATTCTGCTGTGCACAACTTTACTACTGCATTCACCTACAAAACAGTCACTCCACTTTACAGTATATCCCGTGAGCTTTAAGACGTCCCCCTAACTTGAAAGGCCCTATATAAATGTAAAGATTATTATTATAATTCCAGTTTCAATTTGAAATGAAAACTCTACAAATTATTAATGTTTTACACTAACTTTCAATTATTTCACCAATAATTGAAAGCAGAGCTCTGCTGAAAGGTCAAAACACTAGTTTGCTTTTTGAGATAACTGATCTGACCTAATATGGATTTCTAACATTGGTACGTTAGTGTTATAATAATAATCCTTGCATTTGATATAGCGCTTTTCACGTCTTCTAGACGTCTCAGAGCGCTTCACAGAATATACTGTAAAGTGAAGTGACCGTATATTTGTGGGCGAAACGTAGCAGCCAATTGCGCACAGCAGCGTCCCACAAGCAGTCGTGGATTGAGTGACCAATTTATTTATTTTTTTTCTTGAGGGGTTACCATCAGGCGTGTGGAGTAAGGAAACTTGCCCGAGGTTTCGCGCTGGCGGGAATCGGACACAGGTCTCTCGCTTGCTCTAACCACTGAGCTACAGGACTCCTCAACTCCACTGTTAAAAGACTGCCTTCTGCCACCTCTGAAACACTGCCTCCTTCCGCGCTCATGTCACCTCCGACGCTGGCGATTAAAGCTTCCGCGGGAGGATAGTAGGGCGGGTGTCCTGGAGGGGGGGGGAGGGGGAGGGATGAGATCAGATGAGCCAAAATGGCCTTCTTCACCCGAGCCCATCTTGTGAGCACATGCTGACAGGGGAAGCTGCTCGGCTCCGTCACGACCCCACGGTGGCTGACGCTCGCCGCCCAGGGTCAGGGATGAAGATGGGCCGTGTTTGTGAGAGGGACAGCGAATGATACTCCGCGGACCCCCGGACCCCAACCACAGGCCAACAACAACAACTGACTCTCACGTCACGTCAGGAGGACCGCCCCAGTGCACTGGACAGTCAGGGGTCAGCACCCGAGCTGGGGGCTGGGGGTCAGCAGTGAGGGGGGAGGGGGACACACAGCCTGAGCCAGGCCTTCACCCCCACCCCCACAGCCTGAGCCTGGCCTTCACCCCCACAGCCTGAGCCAGGCCTTCACCCCCACAGCCTGAGCCAGGCCTTCACCCCCACCCCCACAGCCAGGCCTTCACCCCCACCCCCACAGCCTGAGCCTGGCCTTCACCCCCACAGCCAGGCCTTCACCCCCACCCCCACCCCCTGGCCTGGCCTTCACCCCCACCCCCACCCCACAGCCTGGCCTGGCCTTCACCCCCACCCCACAGCCTGGCCTGGCCTTCACCCCCACCCCCACAGCCTGGCCTGGCCTTCACCCCACCCCCACAGCCTGGCCTGGCCTTCACCCCCCCCCCCCCTGGCCTGGCCTTCACCCCCACCCCCACAGCCTGGCCTGGCCTTCACCCCCACCCCACAGCCTGGCCTGGCCTTCACCCCCACCCCCACCCCCAGGCCTGGCCTTCACCCCACCCCCACCCCCACAGCCTGGCCTGGCCTTAATAATAATAATAATAATCCTTGCATTTGATATAGCGCTTTTCACGTCAGGAGGACGTCCCAAAGCGCTTCACAGAACACACTGTAAAGTGAATTGACTGTATATTTGTGGGCGAACGCGGCAGCCAATTGCGCACAGCAATGTCCCACAAACAGTCGTAGATTGAAAATGACCAATTTATTATTGTTTGGGGTTTTTTGGAGGGATTATTATTAGGCTCTGTGTGGAGTAAGGAAACTTGCCCAAGGTTTCGCCCTCTGCCTGGGATTGAACTCAGGTCTCTCGCTTGCAAAGCGAGTGCTCTAACCACTGAGCTACAGGCCTTCACCCCCACCCCCTGGCCTGGCGCTGGGCTCCGGCCCGGCCCGGCCATCCTGGGCCCGCAGGAACAAGCAGCCCGGCCCTGGGGCCGCTGATCACCGGCTCCTACACTCGCTCACCGCCGATCACAGTGATTGTGACCCCGAGAGCGGACCCCGCGGCCCTGCACAACCCCCCCGGCACACCCCCCCCGGCCCGGCCCGGCCCGGCACACCCCCCCGGCCCCCCCGGCCCGGCCCGGCCCGGCACAACCCCCCCGGCCCGGCCCGGCACACCCCCCCGGCCCCCCGGCCCGACCCGCCCGGCCCGGCACAACCCCCCCGGCCCGGCCCCCCCGGCCCTGCACACCCCCCCCCGGCCCGACCCGGCACAACCCCCCCCGGCCCCCCCGGCCCGGCCCGGCACAAGCCCCCCCCGGCCCGGCCCCCGCGGCCCCGCAGCACTCACCAGGGTTCCTCAGGTTGTACTGGACCTCCATCCCCGCCATCCTCACAGCGGCCTCTCCCCGGTCTCTCCCTCTCTCTCTCTCCTGTTGAAGCTGCTCTAATAAGTGTGTCAGAGGCGGATGTTTGGGCAGTTGTGACGTGGCAGTGGTACTGTGAACCGTGTAATGTACGTCTGTCAAAGTCCACACCCCTCCCCTCCCCCTTCCCTCCTCCTCCTCTCCTCCCCCTCTCCCCTTCCCTCCTCCCCCTCTCCCCCCCCTCCCCTCCCCCCCCCCTTCCCTCCTCCTCCTCTCCCCTCCCCCCCCTTCCCTCCTCCTCCTCTCCCCTCCCCCCCTTCCCTCCTCCCCCCTCCTCCTCTCCTCCCCCTCCCCCTTCCCTCCTCCTCCTCTCCCTCCCCCCTTCCCTCCTCCCCCCCTCCTCTCCTCCCCCGTCCCCCTTCCCTCCTCCTCCTCCTCCAATAACAAGGAGGAAGCTGCTTCCTTGCACTCTGAGATCCTCTCTTGCGTAGACCTGTCAAGGTCCCCCACCACACTGAAGGCAGATGTCGGCCAGATAGCTGATGAGGAAGCCCTGAGGCTTGGGGTGACAGCTGCTGGACGCCGTTACCTGGAGTCCCGAGTTGGTGACCGCACGCTTGTATGCCCAACGCCTAGAATCCACCTTGGTTGGCCTGGAGAGAGGCCAGCAAGCTGCTGCTTAGACTCCGCACCTCCCAGCGAGAGTGGACATGTGCCCGAGCTGTGGATGGAAAGACGGTGGCAATGCTCTCATGTTGCCCACCGAGAAACTCTCAGGGAGTTCCTTGTACCTGCCATCCACCTGTTGAGAGCTCAAACCCACTCTTGTCAGATGTCGCATGACCAGCCAGTGACTATCCTCCTGGATAGCTGAACTGGCTCCGAGGGGACATGCCTGGCAACGGAATGTCAGAAGCAAGCCGGCCCTCTGTGACGCTCTCAGTAATCCGGGGTTTCTGAGCCAGGCAGAACCACAGTATTCCAGGGCACTGTTGATGACAGCCTGGCTCATTGGCAGGACCTGGAAGGGAAGATCAGTCATTGGGGACAGGGAGTCATCCCACTCAGCTCCTGTTAACCCTACAAGCCAAAACCCTAACAGGTAGAGTGGTCCTAGCTAGACAGGCAGCGGGAAAGGCTTGCCAGACAGCAATATCAGTGGCAAGCTAACCGGTTTTAGTTGGTTAATCTCCAGCAGTACCCCAACACACACTCTGATGGCCCCAAGCCTTGGCTCTTGCCAACCTGTGCCTAATACTTTCCGGAATTAAGTAAGTGGGATGCGTCTTACCAGGGAGAGTGTGCATTCCATTCCAACAATCTATCTCTGGTATTTCCACGTGTAGGGGGAATGCATGGAAATCTCAGCTCGGTTTGGATACTCTTAAGCACGGTGATGGGTTGCAGCATGTCTCTGACCCGGCTGACCAAAAAAAGTGTAGACCCGTTAAATGGTTTCCTTATTCCACACGCCGTAAGTAGGAACCCGGTTGTTAGTTGATTAGCGGATCGCTTTTCTGGGGGGTAATAATCCCTCCAAAAAAAATCCTCTATGGTGTGTGCAATTGACTGCCGAATTTCCCCCACAAAATATAGTCATTACACTTTACTGTATATTCTGTGAAGTGCTTTGAAACATCTCAAAGATGTGATAAGATGCTATATGAAACGCAACAATTATTATAACTTGGGAGATTTTCACAACCTGTTGGATCACCAATGATCTCCCCTTCTTGCAGGGAATTCAACAATAATAATTTGAGGCTGTAAGTACATGAAAAAAATGACAAAATAGTGAGGGTTTTTGTATGTAAAACTTGCACTTATGTAGAGCTTTTCATGTAGAATTTCGTATCAAAGAACTTCACAGAGAACAGGTAGAAGAGAGGTGTCCATAGAGAGACGACTTGTGCAAAAATAGGATTTTTAAAAAAAGTTGTACGTTATTTATTTGCATACAACTGATCGAAATTCACTAGAACAGTAAAGAGATGTTACGCCAACTTTTAATTTCCTTTTCTCCAAGGAAGACAATGTTTACATTTCTTCATGGCTTTAGTGGGACATTGCCTTGTTCACCTAAAAATACAACGATTGTATTTCACAGAAAAATTCCATGAAGCACTGAGGCATCTCAGATGATAGTGTGGTAAGGCACTATATCAAATGCAAGAATTAATTCAGCACCACTTTAATCAAACACTTAGTGCTAGATCTGGTACCCAAAGTAGTGCCCTTTATTTCTCCCCAGAGTTGTGCCACATGAATTTCCTTTTAAATTAAGTGAAATAATGTAAATGCTGGATACAAATTATATTATTGCTTTTGGAATGCACCAAGACAGTAGGAAAATTGGACATAGGTTTAGAGCTGTGGACTTTAGGACATACACCAATAATGACTGGAACAGGTTGCCAAGAAGGGTGGTTGAGTCCAGCACTCAGGAAACATTTCATGCTGTTGTGGAAGGATAGTCAGGTTGCTGTTTTGGTTCTGAACCAATCTTGTGATTTTTCTTAGAGTTAGCTGTTTGAGAGTCAATCCATTTGGTACTTTTTTTTAAAAAAGAAACTTTGTTTCTGATGACCTATTAAGTGGATCTTTTTGTATGGAATTTTAAACCTCCATTTTTTATGTAGGTCTTATCCTCTCAATTGCCTTGTCCTTGTTATTTAAAAAAATAACTGAACTGCAGTAATATACAACTCTAGCTACTTTGAAGCAATGTGACATTCAATAGTACTAGCAGCAGTCCTGATGAAGGTTCACACCCATAACGTTAATCTATCTCTTCCAGATGCTAATTAACAGTATACAGTCATAACATTTTGGTCCATGTAGCAACTTGAGAATCTTCCAAATTTGTCCTGTCACAAAGATCAACCTGGTACTTTGATTTCATTTAAAAACATAACACTTTATAAAAGCAGTATGTAATTCATACAGCATCAAACTTTATTGAGTTTTTATCTTTTAAGTTATAGAGTAATGTTAATATTTGTCACTAAATATTTTGGTGCAGAAAAACATATGCTGATTATAATTTGGACCAGAATCTCAGGGTACACAGCTGATTTCTGCCGCAAACAAAACTTGAGCATGTTAAAAACTTTATCTGTCTTGGGGTACAAAGAAAAATATTTTACACACGGAGAAAAATGAGCTGGACAAATCTTTGAATATGAAACATAATAATTCCTGCAATGCTGGGGGCATGAAACTCCTATGCTAAGGAATGCAATTTCTCAGGAATGAATAATGTATGGATACTAGGTTAGATATGGTTTGTGGACTTTTGATGAATTAACTTTCGGGAGGCCGGGAGAAATACTGCCGAACCTTTACACAGGAGTTGAAATGAGTTGGATATAGTCACACATGGTGTACGGAAGGAAAGTTCTTATCGACCAAATGGTCTTTTCTCACAGCATGCTTTATTCCTAACATAAAACTATTCAGGTTGTGAAGCTGGGAGTTCACAAACCAATTAGAGATCTAAAGACTATGATCAAACTACAATTTATACAATACAAAACAGGATCTCCAGCTAATGGACTTTCCAGTGCTTCAGTGTGTAAACTTCTTCAATTTCATTTTTTTTGCTCCTTTCACACTTACAAGCTTGTTTGGTACTTGCTCCTTTAAAGACATTTTTAAAAACAATGTGTTATCTTCCCAGAATGGTATGCAGGGTTCATTTACCAAGTGATCAAGAAAACAAATGTTAAATGCAGCATTGCCCGTAAAATCTAGTGATTCGATTCTTAATTACAGTACATTATTACAATATAAAAATATTTATATTGACTAGTAAGAATTCTCTTGCATTAAATATGGTGTTTTATTTGTATTTATCAAACCATATACTAAATTTGATTCATGTAAATAATATTCCAGGTATCATTCTCGGTTACAGATACAATACTGCATTAGTGAAAACTGATGGGCCACAACAAACACCCCAAACGTTAGTGCATTTTTTCAGTATTTCATAAATAGAGTACTTCTTCATGAATACAGTATTTCCTTAATACAGGATCCACCATATATAGAGTTCTGACACATTTGTTTTACTTTTTAAGCACAACGTAAACAAATATTTAAGACAGCAGCTACATTTCTGGAAACTTTCTAAGCGATTTATAAATCAGCACAGTACGCTTGTAGCATTCTGCTTCTTTTAGTTACAAAGCAATGGATTTCTATTTAGATTTATTTTCCTGTGAACATCTTTGGTTTCACTTGTTGAAAAATAAAGTGCATTGAAGCACGAGCATCACAAGGAAGCAGTGTATTTTTACTGTGGGAGCCCCAGTTTAGAACCCAAGTCAGAAAGTGCGAAAGCCCCCAGATGGAAGCTCAGGGATTCACACCACTGCTTTTATACTACATTGTTGCATTTAGCTCTTGTGCAAAACTATCTCAATACGTTCTTAGCATCAGGACTCATGTTCAATTTGCTTCTGAAAGATATTCTTGAACCCAGATTTCGACTGAACTTTTACTAGTGAATCATAAAGTGCGTTGGAATAAGTAACAAATGGAGTATTAGAGTCACTAAATCTCAATGCAGAGCACAGAGATGCAATAAAAAGTGCCTGCCATAAAAAGTAAACTGACCACCACCAGAGACATAACCTCCTGATTGTGCTGTTGATGAACCTGTTGAAGAAAAGCGTGTTTTCTGGATTTGTAAATGTATACATTTAATGGAGTAAACCAGCATGGTACAACAGCCGGCCCGCGGGCCACATCCGGCCCGGCGGGTGATTTTATGCAGCCCAAGACCATTTCCAACATTCCAAATTCGGGGGGTGGGGGGGGGGGGCGTGATCAAGTAAAAGAGTGTGTGAGAGGAGAGCGTGTGTGTGTGAGAGAAGTGAGAAAGGGGGAACGGAAGAGAGAGACTGTGAGAGAGGGGGAGAGAGAGTGTGAGAAAGAGTGAGGGGAAGAGAATGATTGTGAGGGTGGCGGAGAGAGTAGGTATGTTTTAAGAGTGTGAGTTCGAGGTGAGAAGGGGAGATTGAAAGAGGGTGATTGACAGAGAGAATGATTGAGAGAGCGAATGTGAGGGAGAGGGAGAAAAAGAAACAGAGGGAGGGGGAGAGAGAGAGCGAGAGCAACGCGAGAGAGTGATTGAGAGAGTGTGAGAGTGTGCAAAGCGAGAGAGTGATTGAGAGACTGTGAGAGGAGACAGTGAGAGAGTGTGTGAGAGAGGCAGAGAGAGTGTTTGTGAGAGAGTGTGTGATAGAGAGAAGGGAGAATGATTGTGAGGGAGAGCATGAGGGAGAGGGTGGGGGAGAGAAACAATAAATTACATTAGTATAGTGCCCTTCACATTGGGAGGTGGCGCAAGGCGCTGGACAGTCGGGGATTTGTCAGGGAAACAAAAAGAGTGAGAGCAGAGAGAGAAGTCAGGGCAGCGTTTTGTGGTTCATTGTCAAGATAAACAATTAAAGTCTCCCTCAGCCACCGTGGGGGGAACTGAGGACAGACAATACGACGTGCAGTTTCCTCACAGAAAGCTCCCTCCTTACCCAGTGAAAACCTTCTCTACATCCTTCATTCCAACCCGCCTCCGCATCCTACCTCTGTGACCTGTGCATTCCCTTTGCCCAGCAAACACCGGCTTGCTTCATGTGCCCCCAACCCAACTGCCATACCGTCACCATTTTGCCTCCGCTCTCTGGAGTTCCATTCCTGGAGTCCCTCCGACTCCCTCCTCTCTTTCAAAGAACATCAAGACTTAACTCTTTGACCACGCTTTCGGTCATCTTTTCCCCTCCCCGTCCCACCTCCTCGGCTCCCACCCCCAACTCAGGTGCTCAGTCGATAGTATCAAGTGCACTGAGATGTCCTTCCAGCATGAAAAAGGTGCTGTGTCAATGTTTTTATGTTTCTGGAAGAAAAACACAAAATATTGCTTATGCGGCCTACGGACCTTTCTCTAATAGGGAATGAGACCCTCAGCAGCCAAAAGGTTGGACCACCTTGGAGTAAAACAAACTTTAAACCAGGTTTAATGCTTTAACCTACTACAATGTAGTAGTATTATTTTTCAGGAGACCAGCAACAAATACATATTTGTGTGCTGTATAAAATGACATGGTAGAACACGTGTTACAAGTGATAAATAATGATATTCAACACAAAAATAAAGAAAAATCGATCTTTTACAAAGTGCTTGCTTTAGAGCAATTTCAGTCAGTGTTAATATCCTGAGCATTATCTTCATGCATGTCAGTGGGTCAAATATAATAAAGCTTAATGTTACTGAGTCCACTAACAGAAACACAATGAGTTTAGCAGTGGCTTTAAGCGCTCTGGGACGCTACCCTTTGTGAAGGGTTCTATATAAATTCAAGTTGTTGTTCATAGCAGAAGCCGAGGTGTGCTATTGGGAGTGCTCAGTTTGCTTCTCTGCATTCGACTGTGCTGTTTCCGGCACCTCAGCACATTTGTACGTACCTCAAAGACCTCGTGAATAGCTTTGCGAAAACAGTGAAAGTTGTAGTCTATCAAGCCTGCAATGTGGAAAGAGAACACAAAATTAATAAATATCCTCCCAAAAAAGCAACAACTAAATCCAAGTAACGTGCCACAACTTTCATAGTTCATGGCAATGAAAATGGATAGATAGGCCTGTGTTAAACTTCATTTTAAATTTGAGCAAGGAACGAGAGAACCAAAGTACAAAATCAACAAGCCTAAGGAAAACCGAGAAATTAGTGTGTGCAGCTGAACCACATAGCCTGGGAAGATCCTGGGTTCAATCCCAAGTCAGGGCTGAGCTGATTTAACCAGATCAGTCGGTGAACTCTTACAATTGACTTCAGTGTTCCTAGGCTAGGATAGGAAATCAGGGTTAGTTCCTGCACCTGATCACTACACAGCAGCCTCAAAAAACTACCAGCATGTGGATGTCTGGTGAGAAAAGAATGTGACCCTTGATCGACTAACGTGTTACACTCTTGTCTTGTCTTTTATTGTCTCAACTCCAACCCAAATATTGGCTATTGGAATGCAATACCAGAACATGCCTGGAGCCTGTGAGATGTATAACCCAGTAATACTAATAATATCCTGCTTCTCACATCAAGATTTCTCAAACTACTTCACAAGAATCACTGTATATTGTAGTGACTGTATATTTGTAGGGAGCTAGTTTGTGCACTGAAATGTCCCACAACCATGAAGTGAATGAACAAATTGAGGTCCTATCTGCCTGTTTAGGTGGATTTTGAAAGATCTCATGGCACTGCTCAAAGGTTTCTCCCAACAATCCTTAGCTAAAATTGATCAGTCACTTCGTGGCTGTAGGACACTGCTTTACACTGCCTTATTTGCCAACAAATACAGTCACTACATTTCACTGTAAATTGCTGCGAAAGTAAAATCCAGTAACATTTTGATACATCTCGACAATGTGACAAGGCACCATATCAAACACAAGGATTATTATTATATATTAAGAGTCACTGTGGGCCTGAACAGATCAAGCAGAAATGGGAGGAGAAATTTTGTTGCAAAGATTATTCTTTAGGAAATAATTTCAACAAGTACTTCAATATGAAAAATACTTCCTCGCTTTGTCTGAATTTTTCAACAAAAATCCCCAACTCTGTTACCTATTTACATTGTTGTGCCAACCTGCAATACTCATGATACTGTGAGTGATAATCACAAGATGACAAGAGATTCAGACAAGCCTTCAGTCCATTTAATCTCATCCTTTCAGTATGCTCACCTTGCTGTTCTCCTATTGTAGAATGAAGCTGATTTTTCAACGAGTCAGGCATCTTGATCTCAACCACTCTTCCTGGTAACCCATACCAGTCATTAACTACCTCTGTGTAAGGAAATACTAGCTTTCATTCAGTCTAGAAATCAAGGTCCTTAATGTATACAAATACAAAAAGGGGTCCCATCACAGATCTTTGAGGCACTTTTCTTAATTCTTCCCCCATCCCCCTTTCAACCCATTTCCCCAAATAATAACCAACTGCTTGCTTCCCTCACCAGTTTCAAATCCACATTTGAGTTGTGGTGTTAGATGCAAATTATGATGAGACATAAATAGATTGAAGGATTATTTTGGTCAGCCAGGTGTCTGATACACACGCAAACCCAGCTCCATGCTTCAGAGTATTCAAACGAGAATCAGAGTTCCACATATATATGCCACTTACAAACGGAAATGTCTCTTTATCTGGAAAAGAAGGGCTCACTTTCTTCCTTATGGGCCACTTTGTTTCATAATTTGATGCTGGACTCATTTAAAAAGTAGCCTGGTTCTGTGATGGGTGGACGGCAGGCTATTCTGGAAGGATGAGATCAAATGGGCTGAAGGGCTTTCTTCATACAAAACAATATTGTGATTTTGTGTGCATCGTTTAAAATGAGCACTTTAACCACACAAATAGACACAACAGATTAGGGTGATGGTCTGGGGCATTAGAAAAGTGCAGCCACAAATTTTCCGCGGAATCCGCTACAAACACTCCCTCCATTACAAACAACACCCCTGTTACAAACAACCCTCCATTACAAATACCTCCTCTGCTACAAAGAGCCCCTCCACTACAAACACTCCCTCCGTTACAAACACCCCTCCATTACAAAAACCTCTCCATTACAAACACCCCCTCCATTACAAACATCCACTCCGTTACAAACATGCCTTCTGTTACAAACAACGCCTATGTTACAAACACCCCCCGTTTCAAACAACCTTCCGTTACAAACACCCCCTCCATTACAAATACCCCCACTGTTTCAAACACCCCCTCTGCTACAAACACCCCCCGTTACAAACCCTTCTCCGTTACAAACACCCCCTCCATTACAAACACCCTCTCCGTTACAAACACCTGCTCCATTACAAACACCCTCTCCGTTACAAACACCTCCTCAATTACAAACACCCGCTCCATTACAAACACCTACTCTGTTACAAACACGCCTTCTGTTACAAACAACCCCGTTACAGACCCCTCTCCGTTACAAACACCCCCTCCGTTACAAACAGTCCCTCCGTTACAAACAGCCCCTCCGTTACAAACACCACCTCCATTACAAACCTGTAACAACCTGTACGCTCGGCCCCAGGCTGTGGGTGGAGCGGCTCCAGTCGTGCACGCGCTGTGCAGGACGAGCGGGAAATGGGCTTCACTTAACCCAAGGCCCCACTGTTGTGAATGTCTCTCCTCTGTATGTGTGGGCAGAGACCTGGGGCTGAGCTCAGTGTTTTTACAGGTTTGCAGTGAGTGTGTTTCTCTCTCCTGTATGTATGTGTGTGCTTGTGAATGTCTCTATGTGAGTGTGTCTGTGAGTGTCTCTCTCCTCTGTGTCTGAGTGTGTGACTCTCCTTTGTATGTATGTATATCTGTGAGCTTGTCTCTCTCTATCTGTGACTGTGCGCGTCTGTGTCTTTGAGTGTATGCGTTTGTGAGTGCGTGTCCCTGTCTGTGAGTGTCTGTGAGTGTGTGTCTCTCTCTGTGTCTGTGAATGTGCGTCTCTCTCCGCCTGTGAGTGTCTGTGAGTGTGTCTGTCTCTCTGTGTCTGTGACTCTCTCTGTGTCTGTGAGTGTGTGTCTCTCTCCGCCTGTGAATGTCTGGGAATGTGTCTCTCTCTGTGTGTCTGTGACTGTGAGTGTGTGACTCTTTCTGTGTCTGTGAGTGTGTGTCTCTCTCTGTGCCTGTGACTCTCTCTGTGTCTGTGAGTGTCTGTGAGTGTAGTGTGTGTCTCTCTCTCTGTGTCTGCGTGCGGTGGTGGGCCCCGAGAGGCAGGAGGTGGTGACCTCCTGGAACCCTAGTCAGGACTAATTCCGTCCGTCCTCCCCCCACTCCCGAGTGGCCACCCAGGTGTGTTAAAGAAATCATTAACCGTTTTTTTGTCTTCATGTTTAGTTTTTATCAATAAAGTGAAAAAGTGTAGGTTGCCGTAAAATGTACCTCAGTAGCACCAATCAACTCCCTGTAAATTTCCACAAAATTTGCAGAATTTCCCAGCTATTTTTGGCCAACATTTCTGCAATTTTCTATTGGCCCTGGTGATGGTTAACAGTGGTCCATTTCTCTGCTCTGTGTTTGTTATTATGGTCACCATTGACAGTCAGTCAAATTGTTTACAGAGCAGTCTTAAGTTTTTTTCCAGCCTTTATCATTGTCATTGGATATTTAATCAAAAAATATTTAAAAAACAATGAGTGAGAAAAAACAAAGTTTAGCAAGTTGAAGCAGATGGTCTGTGATTTTGTGTGGCACAATAGTTTTTCCTCAAATAGTTTAGGAACCACTTAAAATCTATTTACAGGGATAAGTGATTCGAAGACAAAATAAGTAAAAAGTACCTTTGCGCTCAAAACTTTCTTCTCTAAGAAAACAAACTAGGCCAAGGAACTTGGTCACCTCTTTCAGGTACAGAACAGTGGTGTTGTTGAGTTTTATGATTGCCACCGATTCCTTATCATAGGCACTCCCACCACCAAATTCTCTGAGTCTGCGGGAAAATTAGAATATGGTTAAATTAACAACTGAGTTTTTATGCAATTGTTCCAAACATTATTCAGGTACTAACCCGTATATGCAGGATATGTCAATTACAACGTCAATCATGTCACAGCAAAGCTCGTAAGTTTGCATGTCGACCGGCATGCTGTCCGTTGCAATGTAGATCTTGCTAACTACATCAAAGAGAAAGGCTTTCTCAATTCCAGAATTCTGTAATGTAAAAGTGTTACTTTAAAAGCTGCAAAAAACAAAATACTAATAGTCAGGGATGCATGATATTTGAGCTAAGGTTTATGCACAACTATCCCCGTGTCAGGAAGTTGAGGTTATCGTCTACTGACACTTCAGTGATGGAGAAGCGCTGCAATGTCAAGATGTCGTCCTTCAAATGAGCTTTAAAAACCAAGGTTCCGCCTGCCTATTCAAGTAAACGTTAAAGATCCCATGAAACTATTTGAAAAAAGAATGGAGTTTCCCTTGTCCTGGCAAACAATTTTCCACATAAGATTGGTCATTTATTTCATGGCTGCTTGTGGAACAATGCTATGACAAATTGTCTAGCACAGTCATCTACAAAATATACGGTCGCTACACTTTACAGTAAATCCCAATGTGAACGGCAGTATATTGAATGTATATTATTATGACTGGTGCAACAATGAATGCCTAATCCTTACCCCAAACTGAAGAGGGATCATAAACATTTTGTTGTTTCATGGAACTTGTTCTTTTTAATACTGAGCTTTAGTGTGTTTTTTTTAAAAGAAAATACGTTTTTCTAAATATGTTGTGCTTATTAAAGTGCACAATATTAATAAAATGCAAAATACTGCAGATGCTGGAAATCTGAAACAAAAACAGAAGTCGCTTCATCAGAACTGAACGAAGGGTCGTGGACCCAAAACGTTGACTCACTTTCCTTTCTCCATAGATGCTGCCTAACCTGCTGAGTGTTCCCAGCGACTTCTGTTTTTGTTGCACAATATTAATGATGGTCAGAGGAATACTTTCACATTTTAAGCACCCAGTTATGTACATCCAAGTTGGTGACAGCACAGTTAAAATGGTTCCTCTACTTTGCTCAAGTGCTGTATGTGATATTTTTTGGCCAGCCAGACACATGTGAAAACCCATCACCATACTTAAGATCAATCAAACCACATTAACGCATACTGCATACAGCCTCAGAAGAACTGACTGCAGAATGTGATTTTTAATCATTCCCACATCCACCATTCTTCTGGTTTCTCTGCAAGATACCAACGCTTTATGCTAAATTAGGGGCTGTTCTGTGTTCTTGGGCCAGGCACACTAAGACTAGATTGCGACTCCCTAAATATATTTGCCAGTGGGGTTCCTACAGCCAGCAGGCAGTCAGGGGACATTTCCATCCAGTGAGTCAAGAAGTATAAACCCAGGTTCCAGAGGTGAAATGCTACTATCTGGCCCATTGCCACACAGTCCATCTAAGTAACAACTTTCAGCATACAAACATCAAAAATACTGTGAAGTTGCTGAGGGAGAACAATGTCAGTCCAGGTGAGTTCCAAAAGGTTACAGTTTTCTCATAGTTTTAACTTCACATATTTAGCAAGGCTGACCATATGTGTCGACGAGACTGACTGTATGTGTTGGCAAGGTTGGTAATATGTATTGATGAGACTGACGAAATGTGTTAACAAGGCATGTGCTAACAAAACATTTACATGTCGACAAGGCTAAAGCATGTATTGACAAGACTGACTGTACTTGTCGACGAGACTAACTGCATGTGTTGACAAGGCACGTACACATCAACAAGGCTAACTGTAGGCATCAAAAAGATAATTTACAAATCTTTTAAATACATGAAAAAATTATTTCTAGCCTTTTTTTCCAATAACCCCTCTCCTTGAAGGCATTTGACTCAAACTAAGGTATTGTTCTAAGAGACCGTCTCTCTCTGTTAATATTGCCTAAGTGGCCATTTGGAATCACAATCAGTAATATTGTTAAAACAAATAACTTACTGAGATGAAGATGTTTAGTAGGTTCTCTAAAGTTGGAAGCTGAGGAATTAATTTCTGTACCACCTTGCTAAATGCTTCAAATATTGAATGATCATATATACTGGTCAAATAGAAACTGAAAAAAGAAAATAGTTATTTCAATAGGAAGAAATTTGTTTTTTTTAATTGATAAACATAAAATACAAGCGAGGATCTTAATCAAAATATAAAGTTCACTATTTTTGAGTAGAAAGTGTTAACCAAAGGACCCCGGTTTCTTTAGTCAGATAGTTTGGGATCTGTTGATAAACAATCTCATCAGTTCACATTTCTGGTATTCAAGCCTCAGTTCTAAAACAGTATTCAGGGTTCAGTGATTTTTGAATTCAATATAGATCTGACATATTGATCGGCTGTTTCGGTCATCGTGGATCAAGAATCAATACTCATTCTGAAGCCCCTGAAAGTACAAGCATATTGTCTTTCACTGGTTTTGTAGAGATTGATCAAGATCTGTTTTCCATTGAACTGTGTTGCTATCAAAGTATTAGGCCAGTATTTAACTGGATGCATTGGCCACTCAGTATTCAAGAAAAGAAAAATATCTTCAAATATTTCTCACCTGAGATGAATTTTTTCCAAGCTAGCATCTGCAAGGTCATCATTTGCACGTTGATGAATATCTCTTTGTGTTTCTATCTTGTGATCATCAGATAAACCATCGACTTTATGAATAAATACTTCAAAATTGATATCCTGGTTCACTTTGTAGGCTCTGGACACCGTGAGATGCAATCTGGCCAAGGCCTCCATATAATCATCCTTAATTACATTAGACATAAAAAGACATAAAATGATGTTTAATATTCACATATCCAATCTCCGCATTCGAAAACCCATAATAGTTTGTGCAACTGTATTCAAATTCAAGAATAAAAAATTATAGCATGTGTCCTCTTCCTTTAGACTTAATGAAACGTTCGCACTCATTTTCTTCCAAGTGCTTACATAGATTTACATAGATTCTACAGAATGGAAACAGGCCCAGACCGTCCTTGCCAGTTTTTATACACATGTACCTACTCCTTACTTCCTCCCATACCCTTCTCCCTTATTGTGTATCTAGCTTCCTCTTAAATGCATCTACACTATCTGCTTCAACCTTGGGGCAGCAAGTCCCACAATCTCACTATCCTCTACATGAAATAGTTACCCCTAAATTCTCTTTTAGATCCCCTAGTCACTGTCTTATATTTGTGTCCCCTGGTTACCAACCCCAACCAGCCTGTTTATGCTAACCCTATTGAACCCTTTTATAATTTTTAACACATCAATTAGGTCACCTCTTAATCGTCTCTTCTCCAGCGAAAAAAAGCTTAACCTATCTAGTCTGTCTACTGAGTGCAGAGTTTCACAACAGTAGCTTGAATATGAGTTTTTGAAATGTGCATCCACTGCTGTGTTTTACAATAATCAGTAAAAGGCCATCTCCAGATCTGTCTGTAAACTAATCCCATTTACAAAATTCTGCCTGCTACAATTATCAGCTACTTACAAAATTGGTGTGAACAATGTGACCCATGGTTAACATGGTTGAAGAAGTCTGGACCAAGGGAAAGTAAACTAAAAATCAGAAGAAGGGAAGTGAGCAGACATCTCAGGTTTATTTTTTTTTACACAGAAAGTGGTGAAGAGTGACCCAGGAAGGTGGTGGAGGCAGGTTGTGTTGGCAAAATCAAAAAGGAACTAGAATGTTATTTGAGAAACAAATTGATTGATGGATAAGAGAAATAGAGCAGAGCAGGATTACTTACTTATTTTATTTTGGGAAGGACTGGATGGACCTCAGCAGTCTTTCCAATCCTGTACACTGTAGTACAGGATACTGTATAGTGCGGTCTATTCCCAGATTTGATGGGTATCCCGAGTTCGCTGCTTATTGCTGAGGTGACACTCATGCGCTGGAATTCAGCACACTTGAATTGGGTCATCAACCTTTGCTATAGAGTATACATGTGTGAATGCTGGGCGAGGATAAAATTGGGCTTGGTTGCAATTACCCACCCATTCCCTTACAACAATAACAACAAGGCTTACAACAACAACAACATTACATTGTATACAGTGAAAAATGGCCACTCAGACAATGTATTAGAGGGCAATAGCTGCTGTGGAATTATACCAGGATTTGAAATCAGCATCTCAATCGGAAGCAGAGTCCAGAGGTGAAAAAACAGAACAGATTTTTGAAAAAAAGATTGTTGTTCAACAGAATAATGAGCAACTTGCTATGGGCACGAGCAGCATAGGATCTCTTAGGATCACAAAAAATCCATCAATGTAGGAGTTCTGCTTTTGACTTTGGGTTCTACAGTCTGTTCCCATCTATGCACATCTTTCTTTCTCATTCAGATCATTCAAATATTGAAGTAAATGGAGTTGTTATCGTGGCCTTTGCTGGAGTTTTGCCTCATTTATAGCACAAGTCTCCTGTGGACCCCTGCTAAACGGAAACACAATACACAGAGCTTCCAACACTGACTGGCTTTCTTCCACCGTTAATGAAATGGCCATCATTTTCAGTGCATTGGGAGCATGCACATTTTGTGCAGTAAATGGTACTAACAAAATGTTCTGTGTTCTACACATGTGCACTATGCACCAGAAGAGCCAATGATGTTATTTCAAGAAAGAAGTGACATTAGCAGCCCATCTGACGACTGGAAGTCAGCCATTTTTGTACCTTACTGCTGTGATATTGGCCCCAACTTATGAGTTTTCCCTGGTATATCAATAGATTTATGCAGTATATTCTTTTCATAAATAATGTGTGGCCAGTAGTTGCTGACTGTGTAGAATTCTCATTTAAAACTGAGCCATTCCCTCCAATTTTGGGTGTTTTTTACAGTCTTTATGTTGTACAATATTTGGAAAATGAAAAACACTTGAGAAGAATAAGGGCAGCACATAAAACCTAGCTCTGAAGCATGGGGTGTACTTTACCTGAGAGTCAACCACAAAAATGAGTGCCCCAGTGCCTCTGAAGATCATTTCGTAGTCAAATGTTGGATCAAAAAAATCTTCCCGAGCCCAGGGGCAATGAGGGTTAATTGTAGTGCACCAATCGGTACCCTGGATTAGATCAGCTAACTCGGCACTATCAATCAGCGGTAATCAAACTGAGGGCCTTACTGTGCTCCGAAGTTAATGGTACATCACTGATGTATTTACCTATTCAGCCATTGTTGGACTTATTAGATACAGTGATGTGTTTCTCCTCTCACCCTTTCCCTCTGGCCGCACTGCATGGAAACACCATGCAAGATAACGTGGGTGTGAGCCCATATGTTGTGATTCCATGGTGCCCACAAATACTCGGTGCTGAACAAATATCTGGTTAAACCACAATTCAAATAATCTGCATTGTGAAACTCTATGGTTTAGTGAGTTAATCTGGATGACAGCCGCAGAATTTCAAACATGTTTTACAAACTAATTAAGCATATAAAATCTTCTACAATATAGATTTACGTTTTTATTGATACTAAAATGGTAATAATGATGTAGAAGAAAATATTTGGGCTCTTAACAGTGTACATAATGGCCTTTCAAATAAATTATATTCATACTCCATTGTTATCTCAATCTTGATAAAAATTCAAAAGCAGTGACTGCACTGATGCCCGAAAGGGATAAGGTGGTCGACACTATTGTACAATGGTGTAATGGTGCAATGATGCACGACCTCTAAACTGAAAACTAAAGCTCAACCTTGTAATAGAAAACAATGATCAACAAGGTTGAAAAAGTGTTCTAATAGCAGGATCACCATAGCAGCTGAGAACATGCCATCACCAACAGTTGGATTTGATGCCCGCCTGTAAATACTGAACATACAGCAATACTACTATTAAAGAGGGGCTCAGGGGCTCAGAAAAAAGTAGGGTCTGCAGCAATATAACCCACTACTGTTTTTCATGTCAATAGTGTGAACAGTGGAGATAAGACAGCAATGGAAATACAATGGAGGTTGCTTACAACAACAGCAAATTTGTATAGCGCCCTTCACATGAGGTAGCTTGAATTCACTGAATTCGGACAGGGCATTTTGTCCGAATTAACCTGCATCTAAGGTTATCCAAAGTCAATGCATTAAATAGCACCCAGTTGTCTTAATTGCTTGACCTATTATAGCACCAATTACAGAATACCCGGTGTGTATGTAAAGGCCGGTGAAAAATGCTCAATGAACATTTGCAAGCAAAAATGGTCTTTATCTCCATATAAATTTATAATATCCCAGGTGGCTCCTTTTTAACTCTGTCCAAAATTTCTAGCTTTTGCGGGAGCATTAGAGACACTTTCTTCCGTGTGATTTTTGCACACACTGATCACGAGGGATGGGAGCTCTATTTTTTTTAAGAACAAAATTACATGTATAGAGTGCCTTTCACGTCGGGAGGACGTCCCAAAGCGCTGAGTATATTAATAATCCTTGCATTTGATATAGCGCTTTTCATGTCTTCTGGATGTCTCAAAGCGCTTCACAGAACATACTGTAAAGTGAATTGACTGTACATTTGTGGGTGAAACGCGGCAGCCAATTGCGCACAGCGGTGTCCCACAAACAGTCGTGGATTGAAGTGACCAATTTATTATTATTTTTTTCTTGACGGAGTATTATCAGACGTGTGGAGTAAGGAAACTTGCCCAAGGTTTCACCCTGCCGGGAATCAAACCCAAGTCTCTCGCTTGCGAGGCGAGTGCTCTAACCACTGAGCTACAGGACTCCACACACTGCGAGAGGATTAAGTGGATTTCGCATGCGGCCACGCTTAACAAACCCTCAAAGTTGCCACTCCTGGGTCAGCACGTTTTGGCAGTATGTGAAAAGAGGGGCGAGCTAATCTTAAGTGAGTGAGTTGATTATCAAAAAGCCCCACACAGCGGTAATCACCAGCGAGGCATTTTGTCTGAATTAAACCGGATTTAGGTCTAAATAAACCGGAATATTTTAAATAGGCTTAAAATAGAAACAAATTGGGGCCTGGCGTTTTCTCCAAAATAAACGGTGTTCAAGTTAATAATAATAATAATAATCCTTGCATTTGATATAGCGCTTTTCACGTCGGGAGGACGTCCCAAAGTGCTTCACAGATCACACTGTAAAGTGAATTGACTGTATATTTGTGGGCGAACGCGGCAGCCAATTGCGCACAGCAATGTCCCACAAACAGTCATGGATTGAATATGAACAATTTATTATTGTTTTTGGTTTTGGAGGGATTATTATTAGGTGTGTGGAGTAAGGAAACTTGCCCAAGGTCTCGCCCTCTGCCTGGAATTGAACTCAGGTCTCTCGCTTGCAAAGCGAGTGCTCTAACCACTGAGCTACAGGACTCCACCACTGAGCTACAGGACTCCACGTTAAGCGACATTCTGAATTAAGCGACCTTCACTGTATAAAAAAATCTTTTTCTGATGACTATTTCATATCATGTGTCTAGACCACACGGACATCTAGAATATTGGCAAGCCTCACTTGAATATGGCTAAACAATGAACAAAACAATAACTGGTACACAATTGGAGGCCGGGGAGAACACTGGAGTAGCAAGTGTGAAGGCATTTTGTTGAAGCAGACTACAAGCCAAAGGTAGCTCTGTAGCTGTTGATCTCTGTCTGATTGAGGAATTCCTGATGTTGGCACTGGGTACTCAAAATGGTAAAGCACTCCAATGCACAGAGTTGGCAACCCTTGGTTTGAAAAACACAAACAATTAACAGAAAAAAGCATTGCTAAGTCTTGAAAGCAAACTAGTGTCACTGCTGCACCATTGCTTCACGAATGCTGTGAGTGTGTATATTGAGGTTACCTGAGCTTCAAGTAAGGATGGAAAAATATGGGTTGCAAACAACAACAACAATAAAATTACATTTGTAAAGCGCCTTTCACATTGTGAGGATGTCCCAAGGCACTGGACAGACAGAGTTACAAGAGACTTGTACAGATTATACAGGCTAAAACACGTATCAAAGCAAATACCTGCATTGATATAATGCCCTCAGAGCGTTTTACAAGATGGGGTTGAAAGTCAAATATGGGATAGAGGGAGGGGGAAGATGACCATAGACGCAATCGAACCACGTCCAGGCTTCATTATACTCACTCTCTGCTCGCCGGACTTCCCAACTCTTGACGTGAAAGTCGCTATATAAATGTAATTTATATATTGACCATCTCGGACCACTTCCTCATCTCCTTCTCCTCTCACATCCCTCTCTCCTCCACCAAGCCCTCAACCATCCTCTACTGCCCTTGGAAAAGGCTACCCCCTGAGACCCTCACAAAAGCCCTCACATCATCAAACAACCTATCCCTCTGGCCGTCCACCTGCGGAGATCCTGAAGCAGCCGTCCAGCTGCTCCATGATCAACTCTCCTCCACCTTAAACTACCTCATCCCCCTAAAATCCAGGACTATCTACAAACCAACCCGATCCCTCTGGTACCACAACCATCTCCGCCGCCAAAAAACTCAAACCTGTCTGCTCGAGCGCAGATGGCGGAAAACTAGCCTGACAGTTCACCGCCAACTGTGGCTCGAGCATCTCCACGGCTACTGCCATTCTTTGACACGCGCAAAAACGGCGTTCTACTCCAACATCATCTTGGAGACTAAACACAACCCTAAAATCCTTTTTTCCACCACCCACTACCTCCTCCGTGCCTCCCCCCTCAGGCCTCCTCAATCTTCATATCAAATGCCAAGTGTGAGGAGATCATGGAAAATGTGTTCATCTTTTAGGTCATTTTCATTAGCTTTTCCTGTTATCCCAACTGTTGCATATACAGTAAAAACAGCTAACGAACACCAACAATTGGATGCCATATAATTACAGCTGTTTGATTTTTCGCTCATGACAATACGACCAGAACGCGTTTACCTGAATAACTGTCAGCTATCTGTTAGTACGCATTAAAAGCCTATGCACTAATATGGAGCATGAAGCAAAATGGCTGCAGAACATTTAAACACACTATACAGTATTCAAAGTCATTTGAGATCCCAGGAGGTAAATAACAGGAAAGCAATTTGTAGGTGCTGAAGAAAGAACATTCATATTACAAGATTGCATTCCATTTCCCTTCCCGCCTCCAGTTTAAATTTATTTTTCTCCCACTCAGCGTTGTCAACACATTTCAATAAAACATAATGTTTGCACAGCTGTGCAGCAGGCATTTATTTCACAAGGATTTCAGTAAAAATATTTTGATGTGGGGGTTGCAAAATGTTCACGATCTGTTTATTTGAACAGTGAAAACAACCTACATTTTGTCCTTTTCAAGCGCAGATCTCTAGAGAGCATTTTGAGGCAAATGAGGGTGAAGCACTGGTACAGTAGTTGTGAGAGCAATTTGGGGTGAGTGGCAAGTCTTGCGTAAGAAGCATGGTTCACTTTCAACCATATTAGATTAAGTTCAATTTCCATTTGCACCAGTGGATGAAATAAGCTTGAAGTACGATGACACTGGTGTGCATCATGTCTACTTATGGGGACACTAAAGTGGACAGTCACAAGTCTCAGATTTTGCCCATTAGCCCATTTGATCTCATAACTCTAGCTGTTACTTGCCCTCTAATAATATACTTCCTCAAGCACTTAATCCTTTTCTGTTTTAAATATTGTTTTGGCCTCGGCTTCAGCAGCCTTTTGTGGGAAGACATTCCGCATTCTAATAAGCCCCTATGTGAAAGAAAACAAAGTCTACTAACCTCCCCCTTTCTTCTTCTGTTATATTAAAAACCTGAATACTCTAAGCTATGTAAACAGGTGAACAACATGAGGAGGATTAAAAGCATTCAAAATACTGTATCTGTAGTGAAGTAAGTAGATTGGTGAAATAATGACTAATAGATGCCAAGATACTGGGGAGAAATTACACCTGGGTCTAGATTTGTTCTATTAATATAACATTTCAGAGCATCCTAAATTTGGCAAATTCTTAAACAAAGCTTTGGATTTGAAGTCAGTTTTCTTTATATTTCTTTTGAGAACTACAAAAAAACAACTTCAAAGTTAAGACTTATTTCAACAAATTGCCAAATTCCATACATTGTGAAATTTGCAGGTAAGAAAAGAGGAAACAATAACCACGGACAGCATATGGAATTGTCCATCGTCAGAAACAAGGAATGAAAACAATTAAGATGTACTTACTGTTAGTTTACTGAAGGCTTCCAGACAATTAACGTGAAGCTGTTGTTACCTATTCTAATCCTAGGTTACAGCGAGGGAATTGGAATATAAAGTTAAAGGTGTGAAAGGCACTATAAACATGCAATTTGTTGTTGTTGTTGTTGTTGTAACAACTTGAAAGCACATTGTCATCTAAAATGTGCTTCAGTGAAACATCCGCAACAGTGTTTTAACCAGGAAAATCCCTGTAGTTTATGCAAGACTTTGACTCTGACAAAATCTTGAGTCATGACTGCATGGTGCGCAGGGGATACTTCGGAAAAAACTCTGCTTATGTTGTGGGCACCTTTGCCAATATTATGTGGCCTGCACCCTTTTTTCCAAAAGGATATTGAAATATTGAAGAGGAATCCAGAGAACAGCGACAGTCGAGATTCTTAATTCTGTTAGTATCATTATTATTATCATTCTGGTGAATCTGTGCAGTATACCCTTCAAGATCAGCATATCTTTTCTGATGTGTGGCACCCAAAACTGAACACAATACTCCAGATGAGGTCTGGCCAATGCTCTGTACAAATGAAGCATCTCTTTCTTGCTTTTGTATTCCAGCTAAAAGTCAGCATCCCGTTAGCCGTTTTTTGTAGCTGTGAACCAACTTTTAATGACTTGTGGACCTGGATGCCTAAATCCATTTGCTCATCCATCACTGCTAGTCTTTCCCTATTAAAAATGTATTATGATTTGTCTTTCTAAAATCCAAAGTGAAAAACAAGATACTTTATCACATTGAGCTCCATCTGCCACAGTTCAATCTTGTTGAATCTGTCCATATCCCTTTGCAATTTCCTGCTCCTATCTTCACGTCTTACAATGCCTTCTTTTTATCTCTACTCTCCGCCCCCAACCAATTTTCACATGAGGTTGCCTCCAATTCGATGTGTCTTATTTTTAGCCAATTCCCTCTTACCAAATGCCTTTTGAAAGTTTTTCCCCCATAGCTTGCAGTTGTTAACACTTTTGCCATGATAAGTCTCTATAAAAATTATTTCCTTTTTGTTGACTTGGTTAAATAAACTCCAAAAAAAGTAACTCTGGGCCGATTTTATCTTTGATCTGCTCATACCCCACTTCACTACCCGCTGCCTTCACTCAGCCATACTGTACATCCCTCAGCCCTTCCACTCCACCATTGGTGCAGTGCTTTCAGCCACTACACCCCAAATCTCTGGAAATCCCGAATTCAATCCCTTCATCTTCAACCGTGCCTTGTGGCGCTCCCCTCTCTTTCCAGCTTGGCATCAAACCACACTGCTATTAAGTGCGAGACACCAATCGCATGAAGGGCATTAGATAAGCGTAAGTTGTTGTTGCACTGCCATTGAGCAGATGTGTAAGCGGATATGGGGCAATTGTCTGTAGTTCAAAAATAACTGGTTAAGTGTCTTCTTGATAACAGCATTGGTAATTATACCATTACAAACAACATTATTTTTGGCTTATCACCAAGAATATTAGGCAAACCACAATCCATTCCTACTGTGGGCTTTTCTCATCTATCAGCACAAGTTACTTAATATGTATAAGCAGAAACTGGATGTGTTGTTTGGTGTAATTTATATTATTCAACTCTT